ATCTGTATTTCAAGTTAATAAAAACTACTCCAAGCTGCTAGACACACAGAAAAACTGAAAGTGTATGCTAATATTTAAAAAAAATATATTTTTATTTTATTTTATTTAATAGTTGAAAAACTACTTCAAATAATCATATGGTCACAATTTAGGACAAGATGATTAAAAAACTGACAATAGAAAAAAAGTCAAATGCTAAATATTTCTAACAGCTTTGAATAAAGATTTGGACATAAGTCCAAAGATAATGTTACAATCTTTTAGTTTTATTTCATTTTAAGACCTGAAAAAAATTACTAAAAGTTTACTTTTGTTTTAAAAGCATTTTTAATTCATTTCTTTTCCATTAAACTCAACTCGTGCAGGATGGTTTTGTTTTCAACATTTTTAGCTTTGTGCCAAAAAAAAAACCTTAATCTTCAGACGTTTATTATCCCAACCATTGCTGGTTGAAGGAAAGCAGCAGCTGTTTAAAAATCTGTTTAACTCTTGGCTGACTTTTTTATGGCCCACATTAGGGTCATGACTCCAAGTTGCGGAGTCACCATTTAAAACAATGCTTGGGTAGATGTTGCATGGGATAAGATCTGTGCCAAAAGTATCAACCAAAAATTGAAGTCTTACACAAAATATACCAAAAGGAAGCAACCAAAATAACATTTCAGAAGCAAAAATTACCCTAAAAACAAACAAAAAAAAAAACACTAATTTATAAGTAGTTTTTATATTTTAACATGAAATATCAAATTTTACTTCTTAACTAATGTCTTAATTTTGAAAGAAAATCTCTTTGGAAGGGGCTTATAAGTGCATCAAGCTCATTGGTTATTATGGTTAAGAGTGGTTGGCGGGAGCTGTTTGCCATGCTCAAGACTTTCTTTTGAAAGAAAAAGCAAAAACCCTGAGCGGAAGCAAAACTGATGTGCAACAACACAAAAGAGCTGTCGGTGGAACCATGCCATTTGGTGGAAAAGCCTGAGTATTGTGAGTAATGCAGAATTAATCATAAAGGTGTGTCAAAGAAATAAAACATTAACAGTTCAGAAGTGAGGAAATAATTTTTTTAATATAAATATTTCCTTATGAATTAGTTAATTCTGTTTGTTTCAGAAGTGTTCTTTTTAGTTGCTTTATTTGGATATTATATGAGCGAATGTATTTGTTGGTTGATCCTTTAGGCACAAATCCTATCCCATAATGGTGGTTTTAGAAAATGTTTCAGGGGTTTTCCTGGAGACAAGAAAAAATATTTAGTTTGAAAGGAACCTGCTAATTAAAGGTCTCCCCCTCTGTTTTCAGCCATCTTGGGTTTTTACATTGAATTAATGACTCAAAAGAAAAATAGAGATTTATTTTGGGGCTTTCTTCTTTGGACTCTGCTGCAGGGAAAGTGTTGAGAATCTGATCCACAAGCACTCATACGCCCGGTCCCCAATCAGAACCTACGCCGGAGACGAGGAGAATCTGAGTGAGGACGGACATGTCGGACACTCCAGAGGTGAGCTGCAGGGGCGCACAGACACCTCATGGAAGAAATTACATGATAATTGTGATGCTTATGTTTCTGTTTGTTACTATTTGCATAAAATAAGTCTTTCATTGCATTTATCTTTTCCTGAAGCAGTTTTGATATAATTTTTTTGCAGCAAATTACAGAATAATACATATTTAAAGCTTCGTTTTTAGAGTTTAATCTCCACATGAAGCCAGATTTGATATTTCCTCCTCTCTGCTGCTGCAGGCTCAGCCTTCACTGCATCCGACAACCTCTCCCTCAGCTCCTGGGTCACCACCACCTCAGGATTCTCTGGCTTCCAACACCCACAGACCCTGTCGGCCATGGGCACCGGCACCACCTCCTTACCCCACCCCATTCAGGGCTCCCTCCCTCCTTACAGCCGGCTAGGCATGCCGCTCACACCCACCGCTCTGGCTGGAACCATGCAGGGCAGCGGGCCGTCCTTCCCATCTTTCCACATGCCCCGATACCACCACTACTTCCAGCAGGGACCATACGCTGCCATCCAGGGACTCCGCCACTCCTCCACAGTCATGACACCCTTCGTATGACTCTGTCCTGCAGAGAAGATGGCCGGAGCTCACTTCTAATGTGCTGCAACCTTTTTTGTGTTCCTCACAGTTCCTGTTCTGGTTTGCAGCCGTCCCTCTGGTTGTTGTAAATAATTCACCTGCACTGTGACGGGATGGTTAGCCTCATACAGACTGAGACGCTCCCTGTTTAGGCACATGGGATGATGTATAAAATAAATACCTCAGTGCTCTGAAACCAAGATAAAAACACATGCATGTTGATCCCAGCCTTCGAAGGATGCAAAATTATTCATAAAACCAAAAAAATGGGCAACTGTATCTCCTCTCTCTAGTTGCTGCTGACAACGCTGCCTCCACCCAGGCTCTTTCAAAATAAAACTCATCGGGTGCAACAGCAAGTTCGACATCAAGGTTGAGCTGGAACATTTAAGCATTAAGTGGAGCAACTGCCTCAGCTTTCCTCTGTGTTTGAGAAAAAATGTACAGATCAGAGCCAGAACTCTACTTTCTAGAGTCAAAATGTGCTCAAATGAACTGATAAAATAGATGTAGTCACAGGAAACCCATAGGACGCATGCTGACTGCAGTAGGCAACATTTGACTTTACATGACACGGGGCGAAGGAGCTGGACTGAAATTGTCATTTTTAATATTATTTTATTATTTATTTAAACTTTTAGGCTTTCAGTGCAGGCTGTAGAGGCTAATTGCAAACTGTCATTGTGTTGTAGCAGTTTTTTTTCTAATTGTTGTGAATTAGAAACACACAAAATTTTATCCGTGTCAAAAAAACATGCAAAGGAAAGTGGTTTTGTTCATTATATCTAGAATTTTTAAGCCCCCAGGCTGAAGGAGAAAAACATAAAAGAGGATTTCCAGACTGAACAGCACCAAAGTAACAAAAACTACTTTGAGAAGAAATTAAATCGGAAAACAAAATACAGAACAACACAAGGCAGCTCATTCTAGCTCCAAGCAGCCAGACTCTTGAAGATCTTTTAAAGTTGTCTTGATCCCCGATCTTTGTTGTTGAACGTTGGCTGTTTTTCTGACCGTTTCGTTCTGCAGGCCTTTAAAAAAAGCATCTGTAGTATATAAAGTCAAGAAATTAAAAAAAAACTTTACATCTCATTGTGTTTTTCATGGATTAAACTAAAACAATTAGCATGCATTATTAACTATTTTTGTGACAGGCTGATGGGAAAAAAGCCTAAAGTTGAACATTAAAACAGATTTACTTTTTTTTACCCAGTTGTGATGACAGCAGTTTAGGAGCTTAAGAACATCTGCATTTTTCATGGTTAAGGGTTAAAGATCTAAACTAAAGAAGAACTGTCCTCTAGAAAATGGTCACATATAAATATGGAATCTATGGGATAAGATTTGTGCCAATAAATACAGTCTCACACAAAATATACCCACATGAAGCAATCAAAAAACATTTCAGAAACAAAAATAAATCAGTAATAAAAACAAAACGTACTCATTTATAAGTAAATATTGTTTGAGTGTATTTTTGGGTCATTCTTTTAGTGCTAATCTAATCCCATATAGAAACTATGTGGGGAAAAAATTAAAGTCTAGAAGAGGCTTTAAAAAGACCCTCAAAAGATCTTCAATTCATTTCAATCTCATCTTTTTTATTCATTTTTCATTCAGAAATGTAAAAATTTTACCTCGACGCATCTGATCAAAACAACTTCAAAAGATTCCACCACAGACAATTGCTGCTTGGAAGAAAATATAGCTTAAGACTTTTGCACCGTACCGTGTCTTCATTTTCTCTCTACTTTTCCTTACATTTTTAATCACTATATTTTAAAATATTTGTTGTCATTTTAAACATATTTCTAATAATTTTAGAAATGTTATATAATATTTTTTTCTAAATGAGTTGTTTTTGTGAAGCGCCTTGTGATTTTTATCTCGAGAGGCGCAATATAAAGATTGTTCTTTCTTTCTTTCTTTCTTTCTTTCTTTCTTTCTTTCTTTCTTTCTTTCTTTCTTTCTTTCTTTCTTAACTCCCACAATCTGACCTGAAGTCTGAAGATCTTCATTCATACATGTATTAAACAAATAGTCACTTTTTGGCCTGAAAAAGTACAAAAAATTTTTTAAAAGCCAAATAAATTATTCTTGGTGATTCTGAACCTCAACCTTAAATTGATTTAAGTATTGAAACCTAATCATATCTCAATAATTCATTAGAACAAATCTGTTCTGATTGGCTTATTAAAGGTTTGGGCCTGTTTTGGCTCACCTGCAGCCAGCAGCCTAACCTAGTTGTGCACAAATTAATTTAAACTTTCACAGAGAAGAAAGACGTGGACAAGTTGACTCACTCTAATCGACATGTCATTCTGGTAATATGTTTAAAACTGGGTTTTATTCCCTAGTTCTGATTAACTCACTTTTACCACTGAACTCACTGGGAAGAAGCTAAAAATGTGCAATAATGTTTTACAAGAGTTTTTTGGGTGCACGGCCTCTCACGCAGGAATTGTGCAGTATTCCTGCTTGTTTTGCATGAAGATCCAATGAAAAACTGATAGCTAAACACATTTTTACAGCCTGTTATGAGACATGAATGATGCACGCAGTTTGATCTCTTGTGCCAGGACTTTTGTTTTTTGCAAGTTTTTTGATGTACAGCTTTAAATAAGTTACAATTTTCAAAAATCAGCGTGACCACCTCTGAGTTTTGGCTTTTAATTCTAATGCTTTGTTCTTGTTTGTGTATCAACGTTTCTGACTCTAACAACATACTGCTTTGATGGTTGTTAAGTGCAATATATTTATTTTTTCTCTGTGGAAATAACGTGTAATGTACAATACCACATTTAAAAAAAAACATATTTGTAAACCATGAGGAATATATAAATCACCACCCAAACATCTTATTTATTCACTGAGACACAACATGTCTGCTAAAAAAAACAATCAACACATTCATTTATTATATTAAAGATGTTCTGAAAGGAAAATTAGCAGATTTGAAGAGACCCATCAAAGCCCAAGATGCATCCTACAGCACCCCCTTGTGGACACTTTGATGCTCCGTCGATAAAACCATTTTAAAATTAAATTAAAATAAAATTTAATTTAATTAAAATAATTTGATCTGAAGATGAAAAAACAAAAATTACACAATCCTTTGGAGCAAAATGGGTTCAACTATAATGTAAATTAGTGTTAAAACAAACAATAATATTGGAAGGTTTACCTTTTTATTTAAATTTTGGAGAGTTTTTTGTTCAGTACTTTCATTTGTCTCAGCTAAGTTTTGTGCGAGTTGAAATAACGTAGGAGAACTAAAGTATGCTTTACATAGTGGTTGTCACGATGCATTTCATATTGGAAAACTAAATTCATGAGACAACTGCATTATGCACACAGATTAAATTTTTGCACAACATCAAGAGCGCTGGAGCTGCTTTTCCACTGAGACCGACTCACAAGGCCTTCATTACTGCAGGACAGCAGTAGCTCAGAAGGTAGATGTCCAGTAATGAGAAGGTTGTAGGTTCAATCCCAGCTCCTGCCAGAGGATGCTGCTGTTGTGTCCTTTGGCAAGACACTTAACCCACCTTTTCAGCTGGTGGGAGTCAGAGAAACTGGTGGATGAATGATACACTGTAGTGTAAAGCGCTCTGGAGTCCTCTGACTCAGAAAGGCGCTATACAAGTGCGGGTCATTTATAATTTGAACCAGGGACCAGAGAACATGGATTGAAATAACCAGTTTATGGATACTTCAAAAGAAAAAATTTCCTGGGTCTGAGGAAGACCAAGATGGCGGTAGATGAGTGAAATGCGTGGCTGAAGCTTCCAACTGGCTATACTCCTCAAAGTGGTTTTTAGCCTGAAATTTGTATGAGACTCAGCGCCTAATGCCTCACTTTAGATCAGGCATGCGAAGTGGCTCCTAGATGTATTGGTAGAAATTTGACAAATACTAAACAGATCAAAAATACTTGCGCTGAACCCCAGGAAGTACACGGATTCTCGAAGCATGGTTCTCGGCTGCTTCGGGTCTGCGGACACCAAATTCTGCTTTAATAACCTGAAAGATGACATCATCGCGGCACTGAGGTTTGATGTATCTGAGATGTTTGAGGCGAAACTGAGAGGTTCCGTGGTGAAACACTTCAACTTTATTAAATGTGAGCTACAGGCTCTGAGAACCGAGCTGCAAAACCCTTCACGGATCTCTGATCAGACATGGAGCAGATCAGGATAAGCGTGAAGGGGGTGTTGAGCAGATTGTCCACTTGATTGGATGAGGTTGTCTACCTGCGGAGTCTGGTTGAGGAGCTAAAGAAGGACATTTTGGCACTACAAGAAGGTCAAGGTCAAGAAGATGTAATTTCAGATTTTCTGATTTCCAGAGAGCCCAGGGACTAGCTCGACAACAGTGATGGCTAAAATGTTACGAGATGTTCTACAGCTGGAGAAAGAACCAATGATAAACTGAGCCCACCGAGCTTCCCTGCAGCTGAGTAACAGACAACGAGCTATTGTGGTAATGTAACATTATTAACAAGGTTGAGCGGAGCTTCTGACTTGCGCATGTTCCCGAGGCCAGCTTTGCTACAACGACATATAGCAAGAGGCCAGGGGTGTTTCTCTATGTCAAGGCCTTGCGAGGCCAGGCGCTTTGCTGATGAGGGCACTGTCCTTCCTTGGTCAAAGAAAACGGTTAAATGGAACAGACTTACATCACGAGACCGCGGCTTCCGTGGCGTCACATAACGTCATGTGACACAGGAGACAGCATTATATTTTATATGTATTAGTTCAGTTTAAATATATAACCTTTTACTTTTTAAATTGTATAAATATTTGTTAAATAAAATATAGAAGTGAGTTACTACCCGCTAGCCACTAAAGCTGCAACTACATGAGCTAACTAACTAACCATAGATAACTTCTTTGGATCTAAAAAAAAAAAAAAACCAAAAAACATTTTAAATTAATTGACTTACTGTTAATCTTGGTTTGCCCCCAAAGTAGCTGCTGGCTTCTGATCCACCATCCTTTAGAAAATACTGCGGTGTATTCTGGGAAATTTTTGACCAAGGCTAGGCTACAAGACGACTCCCGTGAATCCTTGCTCAGCTAGCTAAATGGCTAACAAACGGAGAACACACGCCTCGGTAGAACATGAACATTGGAACACGTCTTGGTGGTTCCTGATGACGTATCTCCTAGGCAACCGGGGCGAGACCAAGACATCAAGGCAAGGTTCCTTGGCATTGAGAAACCCCCCTGGGCTGTGTTTGCTTACGTGAGGAGGCTTCTTCGAGGTCGACAGGATGTGCGTTATGGCCTGCTCTTCCTGGCCAGGCTTTGTGTCTACCATGATGGGAAGGTCAAAAAAGGATATGACATTGTATGGTCAGGTGTTTCAGTCAACCTTTGGCTCTGAATCTAGGGGGGTCGCGATTATAATTGGTACTAAAGATTCTGCAGGGCGTTATATAATTTTTTCTCACCTGTTCACACTTCCACTGGTCACACCAAATTGGATTTATCGCTAGGTTGTTTCTTTATTACCTGATATCTCATGGCATTACCTCATAATGGGTGGAGACACTAACAGTGTACTGTCCTCACTGGAATTTTGCATGTGGTGAAGAACTGTGACTACGGTGCCATTGTTCTTTCAGATCAAAGTCATCTTAGTATGAAATTTTCTATCCCAAGCTTTCAATCGGTGAAACGCCTTGATGGTTTAATTCTTTGTTTCTTTTGGATGAAAGTTTTGTTAAACTTATAAACACTGAAATTCTAATTTTTTAATCAAGATCAATCAAACCGCTGTGTCATGGCTCGAGGTAAGTGCCTAACCCAAGACATGCAGAATCATCACACAAGTCCAAAACAGTAAAGTAAAAACGTCTTCATTGTAAACCGTAACTGAACACCGCACAGGGAAGTCCTGTGCTGAGGAGCCAAGAAGGCTCGAGTCTCTGAGGTGTTCAGGTTGATAAGGAGAGGAAGGGAGGCCGGGGAGGGCGCTGGGCAGAGGGTGAGAGATCCAGTAGGAGTGAGGCAGCAGAGGGAAATCTGAACAGGAACGGCGGAGGAGGACGGGACGTGTTGATTAATTCCAGAAACGAAGACAGCGAGGGTAAGAAGATGACGAGGTGATCCTGAGCGAGACAAAACAGGCGTAAGGGATAATCCAATTCCAAATCCAAAAATACTATCCAAGGTCAATAATCCACAAGTCGAAGGCGAGTCAAACACGAGTTAGCAAAGTTCAAAGTTTCAGAGTCGAGTGGCTGGTGTTACCTGAACTGGTACAATCATCCGGCAAAGTGAAGTGTCTCCGTCCTCCTTTTAAACCCGCGTTCCTGATTAGGGAATCGCCTGCAGCTGTTGTTCCCTCTGCTCCTCACCTGCGGAGAATAAGCTCAGATTCTGGTGAGAGGAGATGGTGTGACTCACCTCTGCCCAGGGACATGACACCCTGAGAATACCGTTCTCTACTATCTGGGTCATTGACGGCTTCCCTGAGGGGTCAAATAATTTCTTACTTTGTAAACAAGAAATAGAAAAGAGAAAGTCTTTTGGTGTTACTGATTTATCGCCTGACGCCCCGTGACAAAAACACCACGTTTATCCCCTCTGTGTCTGATGAGGCCTTAATTCGGCAGGCTACTAGAAGCATACACGCTCAGTTTGATTTATATGTTGACAATACATTTACCTCCACTGAACAACTGAGCGTCAAGTTTCATATTCACAACTCACAGTTTTTTAGGTACTTACAACTGAGACACTTCGTAAGTCGAACTCTCAAATGTCCCTCTGTGCCCGTCTTGGACTCTTCTCGATGAGATCTTGGGCTGTCTACCAAGAAAGTGCTGAGTAAGCTTTACACCCGGCTCTGCTTGCACTATCGAACCTCTTTGGATGTTTTAAAGTGGAAATGGTTGCTAGTAATGGTAGATAAATCTAATTTAAAGTTTATTCATGTTGGAAAATTAAACATTTCAAGATGAAATATTATATTATATACCGATAAAAAGTTACCAGTGTAGGGAAAATGGGCAACAATGTGTTTAAAACTAAACAAAAAGCAGAAAACAAGATAATTTAGGTGGTACACTTAGAAAAGCAGGCTTGTTTGTGCATTATTGACTTTGGTGTACACACTTAACACACACAGAGAGAGCAGTCTATCAGCAGAACCATCAGCCACCACCGCAGACAAACTGACGGATCGATGGCTGGACGTTAGTCACCGTTTCACCAGGACGAAGGAACTACTTCAGCCCTGATAAGAATCGGTTACATCCTTTGAAAATAAATAAATAAACAAATAAATAACATCCAGTGTGGCTCTGATTGGATTAAAGGGAGAGAGGAAGGGCAAGACGAGCCACCATGAGGTATGGTCCAACAAATTGGAGCCAACAGTTGGGCCAGAGAGTCCATTTTGGGGCATAATTTACACAGTGAAGAGCATGAGCTGAATCTAATGTCATTTCCATCAATTTTGCATTTTGGCCCTTGTTTGTTTTTCCCTTCCCTGAGGCTTTTAGCGGTCATTCGAATCGTCTGGTGGAGGACAGCCGGCAGGCATTAGGATGCTTGAGAAGACATTTAGCAGCGGAGTGAGAGGTGCTTTCTTTATGGTGTGGTGACTGTTGTGTGTATCCGCTGCTGCACCATCTTGGAAATGGCTAACAATATGCTAATAGGTAAAGAGTACAGAATAGTCCCAGACAAGCCACTTAATGGATGTTTTATCTGCAGGTCAGGAGTCCCATCAGCTGCAATCTGCCCTGACAAGATGTGCCAAGTCAAATTTAGCGATAAAGTGCTTTTAACAAACAGGCCACAGACTGCTTCAGGCAGGACAAAGGACACAAACACACAGATACGTTTGTGGTGAAATGTCAGACCTGTTGGCAAACAATGGAGAACCGTTTAGGGGAAAATACACCTTGAAAGCAAAGTTGTCTGAGGACAAACAGGGATGACCAGACTGTTTATCTTCTAAAAGATAAAAGATCTGACGCACTGATTTTGTCCGACATTACAACCCATGTAAATATTCCAGATGTCTTCAGATGCATTTAGATAATGTCATAAATAATAATAAAAATGTATGTGCTGCATTGTACCACTTTGGGTGAAGGCATCCAAGATGCAGCGCTTCTATGTTTGTTTTTGTTGTTTCCTGCTTTACCTCACATGTTTTAGCCAGCTCAGTTTGTTTCTACAGCTCTCGTTTACAACAACCCTTGTCTCTACGTTTTGTACAGAAAGAATGTAAAACATATATCAGGTACAGATTCAAGTCAGCTGGTAAAATTTGCTCAACCTAAGAAAACCAGCATGTTGCATCAAATCTTTACTAAATAAACACAAACATGGAGGGAAAAGAGAGCAAAGCCAACAGAGTGGTGTCTAAGCCTATAGTAGCATAACTAAAGGGATGAGCCAGGGTAACCCAGTATGTCCTCCAGCAGTCTAAGCCTATAGTAGCATAACCTAAGGGATGAGCCAGGGTAATCCAGCAAGTCTTCCAGCACTCTAAGCCTATAGTAGTATAACTAAAAGGATGAGCCAGGGTAATCCAGTATGTTGATGAGAGCCTGCAATATGTTTTATTAGGAGACATATCAGATCTTTTTTCTAATAATGCATTTTTTTAACAATTTGATACACATTTTAGCTTAAATCTATTTAACACTTATATGACCCTAGTGCGTTTTTGTGTGCTTAAAGGACATTAACGTTAGAAAATTAAAGGGTTGCATAAGGATTAAGAACACCTAAATTCCCCTCATTTATTTCTTGGTATCCTTTGGTCAGTCTTACTCTCCCACTGATGCATTTGTATAAAAGCCCCGGCGTATCACCATTCCATCCTCCCAGGTGTCTTGTCTCAGCTCTCCTCCCCATCTGTCCCCTTCTCAAAATAAACCCAATCCATCTCCAGTGTCTTTGTGTCATGGCAGGTGTCCAGCCTATAGCCGTCCTCTCGAAAGATAACAGGGCCTGATAGGAAAACTGGTGTGAGCCGAATGCATAACAAAGACTTATGATGATGAAATGTCCTACAAGGTCTCAAACACCCTCTTAAAGAAATCTCCCCCTTTGATAAGGGAAGTCTAACCCTCACCCCAAAGCTGTGAGGGGGAGGGCATCTAACCTGATTGGATCGACAGCTCAGAAAGGGCACATGTAACAAAATCAAATGGCCGTCAAGCCTCTGTCATGCATAATTAATTGGGCCTTCTTTGACCAAGTACAGAAAAATCCATGGTCATTTGATTAGGGGGGGTTGGAGGACTCTGAAGTGCATCGCTGTCGGAGCGGTTTCCCAGCCTTGACACCGGCCCCCGTAAGGATGGTGTCAGAGTAACGTCAGTGTGCACAAAATCAGCACCAACAAGAAAAGTTTGGTCTATGGTGTTTTTTTATTTTTACAGCCAAACTCACATTTTACAGCTCAAATGTGTCTTCTGGTGCAGGAACATGACTACAGCCTGCACGTCAGGTAAGTGCATGTTCAGACAGTAATCTAGTCCTTATTCTATTTGGAAATGCATCACAACCACCATGATAAATGCCTATAAATATTTCAGCAACCTGATCTTTTGTATTAGGCTTTTTTGACCAACTTAAGAAAAAAGCAAACTTTAAAAAGCAGCAGCATTAAAATAACTTATTGCAATGTGTTATTACCCTTTTAAAATAAAAGAGCAAATAATATCAAAGTCCTGTTATTGTAAATATATTAAATAATATGAACTAAGCATCAGACCCACAGCTAATGATTGTCGGTAAGTGTGCAGGTGCTGCCCCCTTCAGGGCATCAGAAGAACAAAATAACCAGTAAAGGTAAAAGTGCAGCAAGTTTTATTCGAACTGCATAGATTCAGGAATTAAAGATGCATATAATTACAAGTGTCTATATACGATACACAAAGTGGGAAAACACATCACCTCTCTGCAGCCAAGTGTGGAGGCACATTTGTGCGTTCATGAAAAAATGTCTTTTAAAGCGGTTTTGTTATGGTTTGTTAAAGACACACAAGCCCAGATCACTGAGAGGGATTATATATTTATTAGTTTTGAGTCCCATCCCTCAACAGAAATAAAAAAAGTTCTAAGTATGCGACTCTGCTGAAGAATTTGTTCATTTAACGCAACTTTACGTTTCAGCTCTGACTTTGTGCAGTGACGTTCTGCATCTGCGCTCCAACAGCAGCTATGAAGTCTGCTTCAGAGTGACCAGCTGCTCTGATCGTCCAGGCTAGTTTGGGTTTTCAGGACAGTAAAGATGAAAGTGATGAAGTCTGCGGTGCTACACGCGCCGGCAGCAGGAAGAGCGTGACTCCTAGTTGGCCACGTGAGGCCATCCCTCTGGGATGAGCGAGGTGAAGAAGGTGCTGATGAAAGACCAGGCGACAGTGAGGAGGTTCTGCTCCTGGAGGGCAGCAGCAGACTGGGCCTGGTCCTCCAGACCTCCAACATCTTCTTCACTGCCGTCGTCATCCTCCATCCCTTCATCCATCAGGCGCTCCTGAATCACAAGAAACACGTTTTAACTTGGTTCAGCTTATTGAAGAAAAAAAAACATCTGCAGACCAGTTATTTATTCATTCATTTGTTTATTTATTTATTTATGATCAAGCAGAGTGAACCTTTTTGAATCATAAAAGACAAAAAGTTATTGAAGAGACACCATATTTTAGGATCAGCCGGTCAGATGAACTGGTTATGTACCTAAAGAGTTAGAAATAAAAGACTCAGACTCACCATTTCCTGCATGTCCTGCTGTCTCTGAGCTTCATCCTGAGGATCTCCTCCTCCTCCTTCTGGGAGGTTGTGCTGCTCTGGTCTGAAGGGAAACCAACGAGCCTGGTGCCTATAAACAGAAGCAGACTCTTAAACTCAAGCTCAGAACAAACTCAAGCTCAGATTAGTGTTTTCATATGAAACCCTGACTCACAGGTAGACGAGCAGCATGGCACCAACCACCATGACGAAGCGGCTGAAGGAGGAGTAGAAGTAGACGATGCTGAGGAGGACGCCAGCACGTGACACGGCGTATATCCAGTCCAGCCAGTCACGGTTCAGTTCGTCCTCATTCAGCGCCGGTCCGCCCTGGGCATTCATCTGGAAGGGGTTGGCCGCTTGGTTCTCCTGCAGGGGGTTCTGGGCCGGGTTGGGGCCCAGCGGAGGCTGAACGGGCTCTTCGGGTTGGGGCAGCTGATGGGGTGAGGAGGAAGGGGGAGGGGGAGACGTGCTGGGAGGCTGAGAAGCAGCGACAGCTGCTTGACTACAAACAGCAGGTGAGAAGAACAAATTTCACAGATGAGGTGATCTCTAAGCAGCATGATGAAGTTAAAGTGAAGCTTTTCCCCCCACTTACTACTGCATGTAGTAGTGGCGAGCGTACATCTGTTGCCACCACAGCATCTGCATGGGCGCATACATGGGGCTGGAGGGCATGTGAGCCGGGAGGCCGCCCTGCAGAGGGACCTGGGCTGCATCTGGGCTGAGGAAACAAAAACACTTACAGCTTTAATTCTCTCTAAAGCATGACGATTTCCTTATTTAAAGCTACAAAAGCAAATCTGCAAAACAAGCTAGCTTAAAAACATAAAAACACCATTTGAAATTGAGGGAAAGTTTAAAAGATTTGGTCATTTAGTCCCTTTGAAGCAGCCGACCCACCAGTCAAAAGGATAAACGACTAAAAGCTGGTCAAACCATCTTTAACAACGTTTCCCTTTGATCTGAGTTTTACCAAACTTATTACATCTACTGGACAGGATTTCTAGGCACTGCCAAGGTGTTGAGGGGATCCGTTTTGGTGGCTTAAGGATCGGGTCTCTGCTTTTTTGCAGATGATGTGGTCCTATTGGCTTCTTCAGACAGTGATCTCCAGCTTTCGCTGGAGCGGTTCATAGCCGAGTGTGAAGAGGCCGAGATGAGAATCAGCTCCTCGAAATCCGAGGCCATAGTCTTAAGTCGGAAAAGGGTAGAATGCCTTCTCCGGGTCAGGGATGAGGTCCTGCCTCAAGTGGAGGAATTTAAGTATCTCGGGGTCTTGTTCACGAGTGAGGGAAAGATGGGGCGTGAGATCGATTGGCGGATTGGTGCTGCATCTGCAGTGATGCGGGCGTTGTACCGGTCTGTCGTGGTGGAGAGAGCGCTGAGCCGGAAGGCAAAGCTCTCGATTTACCGGTCAATCTACGTTCCTACCCTCACCTGTGGTCATGAGCTTTGGGTAGTGGCCAAAAAAATTAGATCACGGATACAAGCGGCCAAAATGAGTTTTCTCTGCAGGGTGGCTGGGCTCTGCCTTAGAGATGGGGTGAGAAGCTCAGTCATCTGGGAGGGGCTCAGAGTAGACCCGCTGCTCCTCCACGTCAAGAGAAGCCAGTTGAGATGGCTCAGGCATCTGGTCAGGATGCCTTCTGGACGCTTCCCTGGTGAGGTTTTCCGGGCACGCCCAACCGGGAGGAGACCCAAGGGAAGACCCGGGACACGCTGGAGGGACTACGTCTCACGGCTGGCCAGGGAACGCCTTGGGATCCCTCAAGAAGAGCTGGCTCAAGTAGCTGGGTAGAGGGAGGTCTGGGCGTCCCGGCTTAGGCTGCTGCCGCTTGACCAGACTCTGGATAAGCGGCTGAAAATGGATGGATGGGTATTATTTTTACTTTATTAGCCTACACTGTAACTGCTCACTCATTAACTTAGCCTTTTTTCCAAATCTTAAATCTGAAATTAATTTGTTTATTTAATTTGGTCTAACCGGAAAAGGGTGGCTTGCCAACTCCGGGTCGGGGGAGAGGTCCTACCTCAAGTGGAGAAGTTTAAGTATCTCGGGGTCTTGTTCACGAGTGAGGGTAGGAGGGATCGGGAGATCGACAGGCGGATCGGTTCGGCGTCTGCAGTGATGCGGTCGCTGAGCCGATCTGTCGTGGTGAAGAGGGAGCTGAGCCAGAAAGCCAGGCTCTCGATTTACCGGTCGATCTACGTCCCAATCCTCACCTATGGTCATGAGCTTTGGGTAATGACCGAAAGAACGAGATTGCGGATACAAGCGGCCGAAATGAGTTTCCTCCGTAGGGTGGCCGGGCTCAGCCTTAGAGATAGGGTGAGGAGCTCGGACATTCGGGAGGGACTCGGAGTAGAACCGCTGCTCCTCCGGATCGAAAGGAGTCAGCTGAGGTGGTTTGGGCATCTGGTCAGGATGCCTCCTGGACGCCTCCCCGGGGAGGTGTTTCGGGCATGTCCTGCCGGCAGGAGGCCCCCGGGTCGACCCAGGACACGTTGGAGAGGTTACATCTCCAATCTGGTCCAGGAACGCCTTGGGGTCCTGCCAGAGGAGCTGGTGGAGAAGGCCGGGGAGAGGACGGTCTGGAGCTCCCTAGTTGGGATGCTGCCCCCGTGACCCGGACCCGGATAAGCGGAGGAAGACGACGACGAATTTGGTCTAATGTTAGTGCTTTTCTCGCTAATGGAAAAGCACACTGAATTGCCTCTGTGTATGAAATATGCTACACGAATAAAGCTGCCGCGCCTTGTTCATTCACTAAACGTTATTTTAACTTTGGTGTAATTAGTTGAACTCCTTAACTGGCAGGTTTACCTCGAAAAGCATTCTAATAATTTTAACCAACTCCAACCCCCCGCGGGTTTACATCACCCCCACAGGTGGGAGTAAAAGTTCGGCAGAAATGTTTTACGCTTTTGCTGCTGAACACATGTGCGGTGTGAAGGAAGGGAGAAAGGGAGACGCGATGCTGCAAACAGGGTCTCTGCCGACTACAAAGGCTGGTACGATCAGCTCTGAAAAGCCATCGATCAGAATTTTCACGCGTTTTTCACTGAAATTGGACGATTTTGAACATTGTTATTAAAAAATGGAAAAAAATTGTCACTGTTTTCCATTTCTTGATGTGAGATTTAAAGGGTTAACGTGATGCTTGTGTCTTCGGGCACAGACTGAACGGAGACAGGAGCATCAGCTTACCACTGAGAGACCCCAGAGACATTCTGGGGAGGAAAATCACCTCGATACCTCAACCCATCACATGTTTCTGGGATGGACGAGGAGGAGTTTGACTGACTGTCCAGGTTTGATGCGGTGGCAGATGAGGAGCGGGCGGTGCTGTCTGAACTCTGTAACAACAAACAAACACAAACAGTAAAATATAGGCAGTAACAACATCTGGGCATAAAACCACAAACATCACAGAGAGAAAGAACAGCAGCAACCTTCAGATTTAGTCTGTTATGGTTCTGGTGGTTAAACCCTCACAGGAAGGGCTCATGTTTACTCACACTGGAGTCAGAAGCAGAAGAACTGGATGGACTCTGAGGCATTGGCAAGCCTGGGGGTCTGAGAGAAGAACCAACCAGATGCATCATATGGGACTCATCCTGCTTTTGGTCGACAAGACCAGGAAACGACCGGATGAAGTGGGCGGGGTCGGGAAACAACAAGCCACAACGAGTTGGTGTCAAAGAAACACAAAGAGGAAAGATTACAGAGGAAGTGACCAGAATCCAAACACAAAACCCCTTTGATGTTAATGTAAAAGATCAGCTGATGTTTCACTTCTGCACCAGAAACACTAAAACACAAGAGCTGCAACTGAACAGAAACAGTTTATTATAAATGCAAAAGCTGCCAGCTGTAACTCGAGACCAAGATTGGAGAAAAAACACTAAATGTCATAAACATATAACTAAATATGTCCGTGCATTTACCTGCGGACAAACAACTGAAATAATTCTCACCTTTTTGAGCTCATTGTGTGAAAGGAGGCTTCCTGAGAACCACCAGCAGTGATCTCTCAACAGCTACAATACAAACAGCATCTCAGAGATGAATCCAAAAAATGGACCAATACATAAAGAATGCTATGGAAGAAAACGGACAAAACTAAATATTAGACAAAGACAAAGAAACAATAAATGAAAGATTGAAAATGAAGTGAGTGTTACTTTCTAATTAGCTTAGACTGCACTTTATTCATAAAGTAAAACATCAAATTGATCCCTACTAATACACACCGTTACTTAAATGTTTTCCTTCATAAACAAGTTTAAGGTGCTAAAACATTCATGCTGTGAAATTGTGTTGGCTTAAACCATCTCGGTGGGGAATGATGTGTCGATTTTTATATATCCCAATAGAGCTCTGAAGAGATCATTTAAATGTAGCCCAACAGCAACAGGTATTGCTGAGTCACTATTTTCAGTTTATTTATGGTGAAAACAGAAAATACAAGAGACGTCAAAGCAAACCTCTGAGGTGGCTTAATAATCAGAACGGCTGAAGAACAGGTTTAAATTCCAGAAAATACTCTTTCACTTCTCCTCGGTCATGTGAGCAGGCAAAGGGAACAACTATGGTGCATGTTTGGTTTTTAAATGATAATAAATTAGGAAAAGCAGGAGCACACGGAGTCGATCGCCTTCTCTTTTCCTATTAGAAAAGGAATCAACTACAGGGTTCAGTGGTTTTACACTCAAGAGCTTCAATGTTGTAAATATGTTTCACATTTGTGTTTAAAAACCAAGTCCTGAAAAGATCAGTCAGATATACATGACCTAATATTAGAAATTAATTTACCCAAAAAGAAACAAACTGTTACAGGAACGGTACATTTCATGTTACCTTTAAATTATTAATTAATTACCCATTTCAGATTGCTACTTTAGTCAATTAGGCTTAATTTAGAAAATAAAGCCTCACAAGAGAAAAACAATTTTTTAAAGAAAATCCCCATTTGTCACGCCATATTTTGTTTTGTTATGAAGGTTTAGAGAAGCAGTTAGCTTGTTCAGCTAAAGCTAGCTATAATGTGGTTTACTAACGATGCGTTTGGACTCTTGACACCGCGAAGTCAGACATTTATCTGTCTATCTTTGAGAATAAAAGTAAAGTTTTACTCAGAAGTCTTCGTGTACCTGTTCTTCCCGTGGCCTTGCCTCTCTTCCACCGAGGTCCAACTCGTCTGCCTTGTTATTGTAACGTCAGCAGAGTGAGCGGAAATCACGTGACCATTACCTTCGAAACTGCAGATCGGTAGCCAAATTTAAAAATTAAATCGCCAAAAAAACTGAATAAATAAACATAACGGAAAGAATAAAGAAAATTGATAAAAATAAAATGAAAAAACTTTGTTGGAACCAAATTGGTTCCTAATAAAAATATACCTTTGAAGATAAAAACCGTAAAAAGTATTTTTTTTATCAAAGGACAAAAAATAATTCCTAAATAAACGATTCAAGGTGTAAAAAAATATGTCAAGTTTCTATCAGCTTATAAACAAATAATAACGTGAAATGCTGCAAAAAAAGGGGGAATTTATTAATCAATCGGATCATCAGCAAATGTACCTCTGTAACAGCAGTATGAAGTCAGGTGCATTGATTTATGTAAATGTTGTCGTTGTCGTCGTCTTCCTCCGCTTATCCGGGTCTGGGTCACAGGGGCAGCATCCCAACTAGGGAGCTCCAGACCGTCCTCTCCCCGGCCTTCTCCACCAGCTCCTCTGGCAGGACCCCAAGGCGTTCCCGGACCAGCTTGGAGATGTAACCTCTCCAACGTGTCCTGCCACCAAACTCGACACACTCCACACCACGGCTGCGCCTAGAAATTCTGTCCATAAAGATAAGGAACAGAACCTGTGACAAAGGGCAGCCCTGGCGAAGTCCAACCCTCACCGGGAACAGGTCCGACTTACTACCGGCTATGCGGACCAAACTCACGCTCCTCTGGTAAAGGGACTGAATGGCCCTTAACAGAAAGCCACCCACCCCATACTCATGGAGCGTCCCCCACAGGGTGCCCCTGGGGATGCGGTCATAAGCCTTCTCCAAATCCACAAAACACATGTGGATTGGTTGGGCAAACTCCCATGCCCCCTCCATCACCCTTGCAAGGGTATAGAGGCGGTCCACAGTTCCACGGCCAGGACGAAAACCACATTGCTCCTCCTCTATCTGAGATTCAACTATCGATCGGACCCTCCTCTCCAGTACCTTGGAGTAGACCTTTCCAGGGAGGCTGAGGAGTGTGATCCCCCTGTAGTTGGAACGCACCCTCAGGTCACCCTTCTTAAAGATGGGGACCACCACCCTGGTCTGCCACTCCACAGGAACTGCCCCCGATGACCACGCAATGTTGCAGAGATGTGTCAACCATGACAGCCCTACAACATCCATAGCCTTGAGATACCCAGGACAAACCTCATCCGCCCCCGGGGCTCCGCCGCTGTGTAGTTGTTTGACTACCTCAGCAACTTCTGCCCCTGAGATTGGACAGTCCATCCCCAGGTCTCCCGGCTCTGGTTCCTCCTCGGAATGTGCATAGGTGGGATTGAGCAGCTCCTCAAAGTATTCCTTCCACCGTCCGACTATAGCCCCAGTTGACGTCAGCAGCTCCCCATCCCCACTGTAAACAGTGTGAGCGAGTTGCTTTCTTCCTCTCCTGAGGCGCCGGATAATTTGCCAGAACCTCTATGGAGCCGATCGATAGTCTTTCTCCATGGCCTCACCAAACTCCCCCCACGCCCGAGATTTTGCCTCGGCAACTGCCACTGCTGCACCCCGCTTGGCTATTCGGTACCCGCCTGTTGCCCGAACCTCTGGTGTCCACCAGCGGGTACGGGGGTTGCCACCACGACTGGCACCGGCCACCTTGCAACCACAGCTAGCAACAGCTGCCTCAACAATCACAGAGTGGAACAAGGCCCACTCAGAGTCAATGTCCCCCCCCCCACTGCTCTCGGGACACGGTCAAAGCTCTGCCGGACGTGGGAGGTGAAGACCGTCTTAACAGGTTCTTCTGCCAGGCGTTCCCAGCAGACCCTCACTATGCGTTTGGGTCTGCCAGGTCTACGCAGCATCTTCCGCTGCCATCTGATCCAACTCACCACCAGGTGGTGATCAGTTGACAGCTCCGCTCCTCTCTTCACTCGGGTGTCCAAAACATACGGCCACATGTCAGAAGATACGACTACAAAGTCTATCATCGACCTGCGACCTAGGCTACCCTGGTACCAAGTGTGCCGATGGGCATCCTTATGTTCGAACATGGTGTTCGTTATGGCCAAACTGCGGCTTGCACAGAAGTCCAATAACGAAACACCGCTCGAGTTCAGATCAGGTGGGCCGTTCCTCCCAATCCCACCCCTCCAGGTCAAGCTGTCATTGCCCAGGTGAGCATTGAAGTCCCCCAGCAGGACAATGGAGTCCCCTGATGGAGCACTATCTAGCACTCGTCCCAGGGACTCCAAAAAGGTGGGTTCTCTGAAGTGATATTTGGCCCATAAGCACAAACAACAGTCAGGACCCGTTCCCTGACCCGAAGGCGCAGGGAAGCTACCCTCTCGTACCCCGGGGTAAACCCCAACACACAGGCAGAGAGTCTTGGGGCTAACAAAAAGCCAACCCCAGCCCTCCGCATCTCACCCGGAGCAACTCCAGCAAAGGAGAGTGTCCAACCCCTCTCAAGGACTTGGGTTCCAGAGCCAATGCTATGTGTCGAGGTGAGTCCGACTATATCTAGCCGGTACCGCTCAACCTCTGCCACAAGCTCCTGCTCCTTCCCCGCCAGCGAGGTGACGTTCCATGTCCCAAAAACCAGTTTTCTTGTCCGGGGATCGGACCGCCCAGTCTCCCGCCTTGGTCTGCCACCCGATCCACATTGCACCGGACCCTTCATATTCCTCCTGCGGGTGGTGGGTCCACAGCTGGATGAGCCCATGTATCCGGTTCGGGCTGGGTGCGGCTGGGCCCCATGGGCGAAAGCCCGGCCACCAGGCGCTCGCTCACAGGCCCCAACCCCAGGCCTGGCTCCAGGGTGGGACCCCGGTAACCCTCCGGGCCGGGTACTCCGACTCTTAGAATTTACTTTATAAAAGTATGTAAATGTTTACATAAATAAAAACAGTTGCAATAATAATTTATTGTCCATGCAGGGACTACAACAAAAATGGAATATCAGATCTAAGCACAAAAATCACACATTGAAACATTTCCTTAAAAAAAAGATTGCATAATGTGAGTATGTATTTCATGACTGGTAGCATGCTTTTTTAAACATTTAACACAATAACAATAATTAAATGTTTGAAATGCAAGAATAGACCAAAACAAGCGTGTATTATATAGGTCTAAAATGTTTCAGTAAACAAGAACATTTTCAAAAACTTATTCATCCACAAATGACTGATCAGTACACAGCTGATGAAAGTGCTGGAGGTTGTTCATATTTTCCAATATTCAGGTTTAAAGGTCACACCAAGTTGTTTTCATTATGGTTTTGGAAGCTCTGGTTCAGATGACTGTTTCAGTTTGCACAGAACCTCCTTGACCAGCTGTTTACTGTATCGGTTGATCTTCCAGTGTCCAGGCATCCATCCCAGCAGAAAACGATGGAAATCTGTCCATGCAAACGCAAACATCTCTCTCCACTCTTTCTCAAGCGCATCAAAGTTTACATCTTTATTAATAAATAACTTCAGTTCTGTGAAATAGTGGTCCAGAAGTGCTGGTACCCTTTTTTCACACTCCCTCTCCTCCATGCAGCTTCCTAGAAAATACACAACATCTTTCATCCCACACCCCCCACCTACATACTGAAAGTCTACAGCGGCCACCTCAAGCCCGCTCTTGGAAAAACAGAAATTGGCTAATTTGGCATCTCCGTGAACAATGGTTTTAAAGTGGCATTCGTTCAGGATCCTGTCGATATGGGCGGCTGCTGCTTTGAGCTCAGCATCGTCCATGGCCTCCAGCTCATCTGGTCGGGTCTCCAGGTGCCAGTAGGTACCAATGGGCCATAGACCATCTGGTACTACATCCAGGAAGAGAGCATGGAAGTGGGCCAGCCAGCTCAGGCAAGCCCTGATCTCTCTGTCCCTCACGCTGGTCCTATAGAAGACAAATCTGTTTTTAAAATCAATAACTGAAAGGCTTGCACAAAATTTACCTCCCACACTTCACTCCTTTACAAATGATAGGTTTATTATAAAGGTTAGTGCTGTTGCGTCAGAAAGCAAGATTGGATCATTTCATTTGCCTCTATCATTGATCAGCAGGGGGCGCCATCACAGAATTCTATGACTAAATGTGTTTTACTTATGTGAAAACAAATTTTTATTTAATATTTCACATTATCAACAACCCCCTCTAGGTTTCATTATGAGACTATAATTAATTTAAAAAAAATTCTATCTACCTACCCCCCCCCCCCTCTCTCTCTCTCTCTCTCTCTCTCTCTCTCTCTCTCTCTCTCTCTCTCTATATATATATATATATATATATATATATATATATATATATATGTGTGTGTGTGTGTGTGTGTGTGTGTGTGTGTGTGTGTGTGTGTGTGTGTGTGTGTATACATTTGTGTGTGTGTGCATTTAATTGATGGTTTGTAATTTTCGCATATTTCATGGTGTGTATTTTATTAGCTACAAATTAATTTTATCAATTCATTCGTGTAGTCATACCTTCTCTGATCATAACCTGCCACATCCAGATCTTCTAACACGATCAGCATCTCGTCGCCATGGGAACAGACAGCAAGGCAGGAGGGGATGCGGCAGCTGTGATTGGTGGAATAATTCTGGTACCAGTGGGTCTCCACCTGGTAGGATCGGACCTTCCGTGTGTGGGAGCGCTCCGTGTTCCAGTCGCCGGGGTGTTCTGCATCCTTCGGAAACTTGACGTGTTTCACGACAACGGAAGTCCGGTCAGAACTCTCCAAGTGGAGCCGAACTATCTCTCCATAACCGCTCCACAGGGTCTGGATCTTATCGCCAACACTCATGGATGAAGCGCCACACGCTTGCAGGATGAGATCCTGGTACCCCTGTTTCATTATCACAGTCTGATCTGACGCAAAGCGATGAAAAATCACAGTCTGAGTCGCAGTATCTCTGATAATTTCACTGACAGTAAGTCAAAACACTCATGTTTAAACCGACAGGAGGACAAATGAACCCGCTTCCTGGAGTGCTCTTTCTAGCGACCAACGAGGAGAAGCATGAGGGATGGCGACTCCTAGTGGACAGGAGGAACACGACTCACCAGCCTCTTAAAATGTGTATTCATTTTTATACTTGCTCAGTTACACATAAAACTACAACAAAAATCAAACAAAAGCAGATAAAAAAGTAAAAAATAAAAAATGTTTACCGGAAGAATTTCGACTTGAATGGTAAAATGGTAAATGGCCTGTATTTGATATAGCGCCTTCTAGAGTCCTGGAACCCCCCAAGGCGCTTTACAACACAATCAGTCATTCACCCATTCACACACACATTCACACACTGGTGGGGGTGAGCTACAATGTAGCCACAGCTGCCTTGGGGCGCACTGACAGAGGCGAGGCTGCCGAGCACTGGCGCCACCAGTCCCTCCGACCACCACCAGCAGGCAGCGTGGGTAAAGTGTCTTGCCCAAGGACACAACGACAGCGACGGACAGACTGAGCGGGTCTCGAACCTGAATGAACTTTCCAGATTCCCGTGGGTCGGATCATTTACTCGCCCAACAAATCTCTCACTTAATTGAAATCCCTAGATGTATTAAATAACTTTCATCACAACCAATAAATTGGTTTGGAACTATGGTGTTGATGTTATTGTTAAATATTATTTAACGAGGCGTTTTTAGAGTTTAGTTTGTGGATTTTGTCTACCCCTTTAATGCAACACCAGTGGTACATTCCAAATGTCTGCTAGTAGCATTCATGCCCGTGCATCACAGAGTTAGAGCTAAAACTACATTGTTTTAGTCGCCTTTCTGCCTGGTACTGGTGTCATTGTATTTTTATTTTTAATTTAAACCCGTCATCCATCAATATGTCGGCCCCAAAGAAGGGAAACTTATCTTCAAGCGAAAAGGAGTTGTTTCAGGTTATTACAGCTGGTAAGCCTCCTAAGCTAATACCTGGTTAGCCTGTGGAATGAAACGTGGTGCTAATTCTCTAACATCGTGGTTAATATGTATGCAGTTAATCTAAAACGTAGTTATTTCGAGTTAATTAAGTTTTCATTCGCTGTTTAACGTGTAATATTAGCTGGAAGCTAGGATGTGCCTGTGTTAGCAGGAACTTTCTCATCATGTCAGCTGAATGGAGACATGTTTTAAAATGAGTTTGGAATTTTCTCTGCATGTAAATAACTGTGATAATAATCCGTGTGTGCTTTTAGGGAACGTTCAGGAAGCCTCCAGGCTGCTTGGCTGTAAGGATGTTAGAGTGAACTGTCTAGATGAGGTAACTCCACACAAGTAAACACATGCTGATGACTTTGTACTTTTAATTTTTTCTGTCTAAACATGAGCTTTCTTTTTTTTCCATTGGTTCATATTAGCTTTTAGTGCAAAAAAATCTCGTTGATTAATAACTTTTACAAAATACCCAAAAGATATTTTATAATGAATGGTAGATGTAGGAAGTTTAATTGTTTGTATCTTAACAGTATGGAATGACTCCACTCATGCATGCTGCTTACAAAGGAAAAGCGGACATGTGTAAATTACTCCTGCAACATGGAGCAGATGTGAATTGTAATGAACATGAGCACGGATACACAGCGCTTATGTTTGCCGGCCTGTCAGGTAATTGTTGGTGTAAGATATGTGTGACAGAATTTTATTTTTTAATTTATTTAAATAAAACAAAGATTTTTTGTGCAGATGTGACTCCTTTGCCTCTGTGCCTTCAGGAAAGACCGACATCACGTGGATGATGTTGGACGCTGGAGCAGAGACAGATGTGACAAACTCTGTTGGAAGGACAGCTGCGCAGATGGCAGCTTTTGTTGGTGGGTTAACGTGTGTTCACTTTTTATGCTGAAATTGAGATTTAAGTATAAGACATGGCTTAAAGTATATATATTTCCCTTAAAATAAAAGGTGTGGTTTACTCATTTATTCAATACATTTTCAGTAATTTCTAGTGTAAGTCAATGCTTTATGAGCCATTTTGAAAAATAAAGCTATGATGCACCTGTTTTGAGATGCAGAAGTTTGCTGGTGCAGAGGTGGACTGAAAACAGCAGGATTTTTGGTTATAATTAATGATTTGCACACACATCGCTTCTGATTGGCTAACAAAACGTGTTTTGCCATGTTGCAAAGTCACTAACACCAAGACTCTTCCCGATCTCTCTCTTTGCTGCAAATAAATTAAGAAAAAATCCTTCCTGGTAGCGTGTGTGAGCCAAGATGTGCAAGGCCATGAATGCAATTTCACAGTGTGACATAGATATGTGAGGATTTAAAAATCCTAGCATTCCACGGTCTATTTTCTATCAGAAGCTACTGCAGGAGATAGGTGTATGAGACTGTTTTCATGTTCAGTCTGCATTAAAAACTCAGAGTGACCGGTTATAATCAGAAATAATAAAGAAAAAAATGTTTTTTCAGTCAGGTCTAATCCTTGCTCATATGAGTATAAATGATGTTTGTGCTTAAAATTCATCCACTTCTCCTCCATACGCAGGTCAACACGACTGCGTCACGGTAATAAACAACTACTTCTCCCGTGCTCGGCTGGATTACTACACAAAGCCTCAGGGTTTGGAGAAGGAACCCAAGCTGCCCCCCAAATTGGCCGGACCTCTCCACAAGATCATCATGAGCACCAACTTGAACCCAGTTAAGGTGAGGTATCACCACATGAAGATTAGTTATGCTCATCTACTAAACTGTTCTGTAGGAGGATGGCAACAGTTTTTCTGAAATCCAATAAATGCTGCGAAAGGTTGTTGCAAAGGTGATTCACAAGATGTTTGAACTTATCGACTGTATTTTTGTTGTTAGCAGTTTATCCCAGATATCCAACGGCGTTTGATTCTATTTAATAGTTAAGCCATTGCAGTTCTCATAATAAAAAAAGAAAGCAACAATCATTCTTAGAAGGAGTCACGTGGCACAAAAACGGACCTGCGTATAACTGGAATCTCAAACACCCAATTTTAATGAGTCCCAGTATCGTTCTGCTGATACGTTTTTTTATGATTTTCAGTTGGTGATGCTGGTGAAGGAAAACCCTTTGCTTGCAGAGGTGGCGGCTCTGGAGAAATGCAGACGTGTGATGGAGCTCATCTGTGAGAAGTGCATCAAGCAGCAGGACATGAACGAGGTTTTGGCCATGAAGATGCACTACATCAGCTGTGTGCTGGGGAAGTGTTCCTCCTTCCTCAAAGACCGTGAGGACAAGCTGGAAGGTCTCATAAGGAGGTCAGATGTTTTGTTCATAAAATCTTTCATTTTACTTTGCAGTTTGGGTGTGTAACTCAGTTGAGTTTAAAAGGAACCCTGAATATAAAGACTCGTTGCTCTAAACTATCTCCACTGCATGAAAATGGTTCTAAAGTCCAAAAATGTTTTTTTTATTCACACAATCTTAGCTGTTTTCAAACTATGTTTGAGGTATGGGGGCAGCCATGTTTTTGAGCGCACAAGGCATTGTGAGATGATGATGCAAATTGGTTGTAGGCATTAGCTTTGGCATTCGCTTAGCTGTTACGGAGAAAGGTTACAATGACGTGTTGTCCTGCTTTTGGTTGTGATTTCCACTCTAAGGACAACAAATGAACCAACATAAGTGTCCACAGCTTTCCTCTCAAGAAGATGCAAAACAGTAAAAAAAAAAAAAAAAAACAACAAACGGGAGGTCAACAGGGCTGAAAAATATGAAATATTAGATCTGGGAAGCTTGTTAAATCATGGTACCGTGCTGGTTTTTGCTATGATCTTCACTTTAACATTGTAACAGTGCCAGTTAACCATATTAACTTTAAAAAGGAGCATCAAGTATTATTATGAACATTAGATTGGATGGATGAATTACTAGTTAGAAACATATTTTGAGGACACTTGTGACCAGTGTTGGGAACGTTACTTTAAAAAAGTAATTAGTTATAGTTTCGGATTATTTAGTCGACAAAGTTACTCGGTTACTTACTGAGTTACAAGATTATAAAAGTAACTAATTACCAAGAAAAACACTAAACTATTAAAATGTTACTGTGTGATATTTAACAAGACCCCAAAATGTATAATTGCAAATAGAAACCCCTGTAAAGGTTCCTGAGCCTTTAAATGGTCTCTCAGTCTAGTTAAATTACTGAAATAAATGTCATTTTGCACAATATTTAAATTTTTCCAACTTCACATAATTGTGTGTTATTAATAGCATTTCTGTTGCCGGTAATCTAGTAATGGTTAAATAAATAAATACAATCCTTTAAAACAACACTAGAAGAGGCACAAATCTGATGGAGGACTTAAGTTTACTAACTACATATGTATATATATATATATATATATATATATATATATATATATATATATATATATATATATATATATATATATATATATATATTTGTATGTATATATATATATGTATATTTAAATTCATAAAGCATTAAGGTGAAGAGCAACACAGTCCTCTGAACTTGTGGTTTTCATAATGTAGCTACTGTCTTTGGCTTTCCGTCATCTGGTTCCTATTTGGAAGCACTAACCCGGTCATGGAGGCTTACAAGCGTCACCTAAAGAACATCTTGACTGAAGCAAACTGCTTCAAAGTTTTGGTGCACAGTGAGGCACAGAGTATCTGAAAATAATCGAGTAATGTTGGTAACATAATTTCAGCAAAGAAAAATCTGAATTTTTATGGTGGGTTTTGTGACAACATATAATAAAGGTAGTTTTATGAATGTTTTGTTATGTGTTTCAGTAATACCTTGGATAGCTGCTGCTATGAAACTGAGCGCTTTGCATCAAACGCTCTATCTGCGTGGGCATGCCTTTGCTGCATGTGCACCAGTGATTGAGCCCCGCTCTCACATCCTCCAGTCTCTGGTCTTCATTTTCTTCTCCTCACTGGCTATTTTCTCCTCGCTACCCACTTGCCTCTCCGGTTCAAACTGGAAAGGCTGAACCGAAGCCGTTTTCATTGTCAGCCGTGTGAATCGGATAAGCGGTGCAACCATGTGATGTCACTACCCAGAATGCTTTGAGAAGTAAATAACAATGGCGGCCTCCTGTTAATTGGTTTTATTTAAATATTACATTTGGCTTGTTTTATGCCACGTTTTTACTCGGGACATTTTTAAATAAAAATATGAAACAAGACTGTTTTTTTAATTGGGTGAAGTAGTGGCTGAAATGTCTGACCCCCCCTTTTTTTTTTCTTCCAGTTTACTGAAGGGTCGTGACAGCGACAATTTCCCGCTGTTTCAGGAGAAGTTTGTTAGAGAATGCATCCGCAAGTTTCCGTACTGCGATGCCACGCTGCTACAGCAGCTGGTCCGAAGCATCGCTCCTGTGGATATTGTAAGTTTGCTAATTAAACTTCATCATCGTTCATGTTGTTTGTCTGTGTCTAGCCAAGAAGGAGATTTCTAAAAATCAAGAATAGTTTTGTGGCTTGATGAAACTGAATTCAGTCAGTTTAGTTGAGGAACCGATGGAGAGGAAGACATTCAAACTCAAAGCTTTTATTAGTGACTGATAAACTGTTTTTAACATAACTGCAGGGTAATGACCCCACAGCTCTATCCGTGCTGACCCAGGCCATCACAGGACAGGTTGGCTTCATGGACACAGAGTTCTGCACAACCTGTGGAGACAAGGGAGCTGAGAAAAGATGCTCCATCTGCAAAATGGTGAGAAACTAAAATAAATACAGAAAATGTACCTGCAAAAGTCTAATTTTTGAACCTTTGTGGTTTATTATTCTTTCATTCAGCTTAATCATTAAGCAACACAAAATAATTTTGCCGTATAGTTTAAAGTGGAATTAGAACTGTTGTACACAACCCTGCTGTAGCTAGTGCTAACAACGAGCTAACGCTAACACAAGCCAACTGATACTAAATAAGCCACTAAGTAATAAGAGCCACACTGTTAGACAAAAAAATTAACACAAGTCCAGTAGCAACAAAGCCAGGCCACCATCAGTCCGGGATTTCTTAGCCTCCTCATATGAGTGTAGGCCACGCCGATGTCCACTGTGGTTTTAGCAGTTTGCTTCACCTCCAAAGATAAAACTCTTATTTTTATTTCCAGGTTCCCCCATGATGCCAACAAAAAAAGCAAAATTCTTCTTTAGATTTGTATTAACGCTTGGCTAACTGAAAAAGCTAACTTGTAGCCTTTATATGAGCTACTGGCACATTTTACAGCTTACAGCAGCCGTAAAGCAGTTAGAGACCTCCCACTAGTGTTCCTTCCTAAACCACAAAACCTAAGTGCTGTTTGTGGTCAGCAGTGTTGTCTAATGTGAAGTTGCTAATTTCCCTGGCTCAAGAATCACTGAAACCAGTTTGAAAGCAATAGCTTAAAGTGTAAAAAACTCTTTAGTGTTGCTTTAAAACGAAGCATAAAAAAAGCTCATTTTTATATATTTTCATAGCAGTTTCTGATGTCATCTGTCTCTTGTTTGCATTTGACGACTGTTAAAATAACCATTTCCTTTGATTTTCCAGGTTATCTATTGTGGTCAAGCTTGCCAAAAAATGCACTGGTTTACTCACAAGAAGGTTTGTAAGAAGCTCCAAGAGCAACGAGAAAAGCAAGAAGCAGAAGCAGCCAACCTGAGGATGCAGCAGAGCAAAGGTATTTCTTTTTCTTTTTTTTAGCAAACTGTTCACATCTGGAAAGGTCAATACTCAGAATTATGTTGTTTATTGCTTGTATTTTTGGATTCTCAAATCTAAACTGCAGTGAAACTTTTACTAATAACTGTAAACTGTAACCAAAGCTGCTTTGTGTTCTTCAGAGGCGACTGAAGTCGTGCAGGAGGCAGCAGACTCCATGCAGGAGCTCTCGGTGGAAACAAACAAGGAAGTAGCATCTGTGGATTCAGCTGCAGAGACACATGACTCCATCACAGCTGCTGAAAACTGAGACGCATCTTTACAGACTGATTTCCAGCCTCCACCCTCTCCTGGGTTCATCCAACCTCCGCAGACAGACAGAAAACTACCACAAAGACTGGTCCAGTGGCAGAGAAAACGCTATTTTTATTTATCAACGGTCTGAGACCATCAACCGAGGATTTTGAGGAGCAACTGTTGTCTTTTTGTCCATTTTTATTTGATATTGTTCTTGTCAGTTCTGTATACACAGGTGTGTTTGTAGTAGGTGTCTCTGGGAAGAGAAGTGAAGAGCTAAAGATTACAGCAACAATGACACTGCCTTAAGAAACTGTAGCAAACTGTGAGAAAGAAAGAAGTGTTGAGTCGGTTTTTGGGGTGTACGTTTGTACCCGCAATGCCCGTGTGCAAAGCACGGCTGATGCATGCTGACCAAAAATGGGAGGGGGGTGTTTTTGTTTTAATTTTTATTGACGTCAATGGGAGTTTGTTTTAGAGTATTGTAAAAAATAAAGAGTTTATGCTCAGGAATTTATAACTAACTGAAAATGTTTGTCCCCTCTAGAGTCAAGTTTTTAAAAGTAAATAGTTGTGCACAGTGAGCCCATTGTTGGTTAACGAACTGCAGTTTGAGACGGTTTGGCGTTTTATTTAAGGTGTAAGCTAAAGTCACTCGTCGTGTCCAGCTTGAGTTTATTTACCCTACATGATGAGGACTTCCTTTACCAATAAAGGCTTTTCCCCTTATTCTGGGATGTAGTTCTGTTTTTGACCACTTCCATAGACTTTCTGCTGTTTCAGATCAAACTGGTTGCCATGATATTTCTGTTAGCAAACACAACAAACCAAGCAGCCATTACCTGCAGGTGTTCGAGAAAGCCACTAGATGGCGCTGCTTGATAAGAACTAACAAGCACATTTGCTGGGAGCAGGTGAAAGAAACCATTAAATGCAGCAAGGGTCCTAGAGGGCCCCTGGTCAGCATGTTTTAGTTATGTCCCTGCTCTGACACCCATTCAGTGTTTAGAGCCACTGTTAAGCAGCTCATCAGGCTTCGCAGGAGCCCATTAATCACCTGCTGATTTAAATCTGGTGTGCTGAAGCAAGGAAACAATTTAAACGTGCTGGACAGGATCGCCTAACCCTGACCTACAGGATTCTCTTTATGGCAGTTGTCTACAAGTATGTAAAACTGCCAGATTTGTGGGGATGGGCTTTAGAGGTGAGGAAAAGACTTGATGTTTGTTGGTTATAACTTTTCTTATTAAGGTTGCACAGTGGTGCAGTGGTTAGATCTATTGCCTTGTGACAAGAAGGTCGTGGGTTTGCTTCCCGGTCTGGGATCTTTCTGCATGGAGTTTGCATGTTCTCTCTGTGCATGCGTGGGTTCTCTCTGGGTACTCCGGCTTCCTCCCACAGTCCAAAAACATGACTGTTAGGTTGATTGGTCTGTCTAAAATTTCCATGTGTGTGTGTGTGTGTGTGTGTGTGTGTGTGTGATTGTTTGTCCTGTGTGTCTCTGTGCTGCCCTGCAATGGACTGGCTCTCTGTCCAGGGTGTACCCCGCCTGATTGCCCATTGACCGCTGGAGACAGGCACCGGTCCCCCCCCCCCCCCCCCCCGGCGACCCTACGTGGACAAGCGGGTTCAGAAAATGGATGGATGGAACTTTTCTTATTCTAAAGATTTCATACATGCAAACAGAAGCTGATCATCTTAACACATGGTTGTAGTTTGGTTTTTAAAATTAAAACAGCTGTTTCAGATAACCGAGCATGCTCTGGTCGCGCTCGACAAACGCAACTTGATGCCGCTCCGCAGTTACCTGAAGATAGAACGATGCCCAGTCCAGGTCCTGGAGAGCTGCTATCTAGCATGTTTTAGTTGTTTTTCTGCTCTTACACCCCTCTGACACAGTGGCGACCCCAGAAATGTTTCATAGGGGGTGGCCATGGGGCCAGAGAAAATTTTGGGGTGGCACGCCAAATTGATCTCCGTGGTAACTCAGGGAAAGTTTAGCCTGTAGTTATGCAATCAAAGCTCCTTTATTCATTTTCATAAAAATAAATAAACAAATACATTTATGGTTTGTCTGAAGATTAATATGATTTATTAAGTAACATTGGTCTTTCCTGGTTGTGCCCTGCAATTTTCTAGGGGTGACCAAGGCCACCTTTGGCCACCTCTTGGGGGCGCCACTGCTTGGACACCCTTGCAGCTTCAGAATCACATGATGGACTTAGTTTACCTCAAAGACTGGAAAAAAGAAAACTCTCTATAATCTGGAATAACAAATGTACAAAGGATGCTTCAGGGATTATTTTTCAAAAACCTATTTAAAGTCATGCTACAGCTGATGTGAGTGACTGCAGGTTTCTCTAGTCCATCTTGCTGCTGGAAGGTTTATGCTGCCTCTAAAAAACCTGGAACATACCTGTTGATGAACCAGTAAAGCACTTGCAGTAGTAATCACCCGGATAACAGACAAAGGTTAAACTCAGGAAATAACATAAGTGGTTCAGACAAAATCCATAATTATAGACCTTTATGGAAGCTTTTGCAAACTGTGACACATCCGTCATGGATTTCTTTCTTCGAGCATACAGGCCTTTCCTGATCATGCACCTTCCCAGTCTTCTGCTTGTCGATATCCAGTTAACCCATCCGACCACTTCCGACGAGGGGCGAGGGCAACAGGTTCCTGTTGCTGAGTTTCAGCATTGTTTTATCTTTCTTTACATACCAGGAACACAAAAGCTGGCGCCGATCATATTTACTCTTCAGCATTCATTTAACCTGGAAGCTCAAAGGGGAGCAAACAGTCCTCTGGGAGGAGGATGCTCACGCTGTCCTTTAGTTTCAGTCGGAAGTGGACTGAATAAGGTTCTGGAGTCTTTGTTGGAGGGAAAAGAAAAGAGATCAGAAACAATAACAGGGTGATGTGAGTTCTAACAACAGGCCGCTCACCTGCTGAGCTCATTTAGAATTATCTCTAGGGTGCTATCTTTTCTCTCAGCAAGCTAAAAAACAAGGTTTTTAACATTTTTAGCACAAAATCCAGAAATAAGAAAGGCTCTTGTTTATTGTTGTGCCTTAGAAATTTCTTTTAGAGCAAAAAAGTCTGTCATAAATTATTCAGAAATACTTTGAAACCTTATTTGGGTGCTATTTTAGTAGCCTGGCAAATCAACGTGAGTAGTCTGGCCTCGACCCATAGGCAGAGCTCAGTCGTGGGGCGGAATCTATGGTTGTCTTTCGAACCGTGTCCGTAACGAACTCATCACTAAAAATGTCAGTCAACGGGTTACTCCACCGCTAAAAGCCTTTCTTCTACAGAAAGATGTTTGCGCTGTCGCCAGGCGCCCTTTTTGACTACAGCTAAAAAAACTACGACGCTCAGTTTCTCATAAACAACGAAGACGGCGTCTGAAGCGGAGTTCGCTGCGGCTCTTCACTCTGTTCTAAATGACTTGGACATGTCTTTTAAACCACAACAAGAAGAAGCGCTAAAAGCCTTTCTTCTTCTAAAAAAAAAAGAAAAAGATTGCGCCGTCGCCATTTTTGACTACAGCTAAAAAACTACAGTGTGGCACGATACAGTCGGCATTTTCACCTTCTTCCTGATTGGTTATCTTTTGAGCTGGCTAGTCCCGCCCCTCGTCTGTCACTCTGCCTGTGAGTAACCAGACTAGTTCTCTGTGCAGAATTAAACAGAGAACAAGTGGCAGGCCAGGCTAACTTCTATCTGCTCTTGACTCAAAGAAAAGCCCAAGTCTAAAAATTCCAAAGTTGATGACAAGGCTGTTTGAAACGAGCTGTCGCCATCTTCGTTGTTTCGCAAAATCTGTTTGCTACTTCTACGGTCTGTCTAGATTTCTAGGCTAATACTAAAAGGAGACATATTATGAATTTATATCTTAAGTTTTAATACTTCCATGGTTGGTACAAAACATGTTTTCCTCTTGCATAAAGTGAGACCAGCAGTTTTATTCCTAGCTTATTTGCTACCTTCCATTATGAGCCGTTTCGGGGCTTTGTCACTTTAAGAAAACAAGCTGGATATGGCCAGGCCCGCCCAGCTTCTACTCCGGCTGCTATAGGCTGAGAAGCTCTGATATCTGGGAGGGTCTCGGACTAGAGCCGCTGCTCCTCCAGCAGTAGCCCTCTCTTTTATGTGAGAGGTGGTCTCATTCTAGTTTCCCAGTTTGTAACATCACAAATGGGAACTTTCTGAAATGGCTTATTTTAATAACATACTTCTTAAAACCAAATACTGACAGAAAACAGATGGACGGGCTTTTTTGTGTCTGGAGTGAAAGAGGCAATGGAGACAATAGTTGCAAAAGGTGAGTTTAGCATAATATGTCCACTTTAAAACTAATACTACCTACTTTATGCCTTAATAAATGTTTTTCTGTTATTTTTTTCTTTTTTATGATATTGCATATTTTTCTATTTTTTTACCAGTAAAAGAGCCCTTTCCTTTACTATTTTCAACACTATTTCAACCTCTGTTTTGACCCTTAAAATGATTGATTGATTCCAAAGTGCAAAATTTTATAGCACCAATCAAAGCTCAAAAAAAGGATTAACACTTCTGTGATTTATTACATTTTGGGTTAAAGTTACCCGACCTGGCTCCCCAGCCGCCATATCAGAGCCACAAGAAGCTTGACTGATTAAAAAATAAATAAACTGAAATCAAATTTCTGCAGAGATGTTTGAATCAAGTCTGAACTCTGGCATCCATTAAAGTGATCAGAAACACTGACTGGCTCGCCGGTGTCCATCATCAGAAGTGACTGAAGTTTTTCTTTGTTAAATTAGACATTCCCATCATGGCTGCTCTCTCGCTCTCTCAGGTGTGTGTTTGATTTAAAACAGAAATCTGATGCTGCCGGCGTGTAATCTGCCTTCCTTCCTGTCAGTTACGCGTCTAATCATGCGAGTGCTCAGACTATCTGGAGTCTTTGTGTGTGTGCTGTATACCACAGGGGGAGATATTATTACTGCAGTGCAGAACACTTCATCCTGGCATGTCTCACTGATAGGAAAAGTGCAAAGACACTAATTGTCGCTCAGATGAATGAAAGCCGAAACTTGAGCTCTCCTGTCTGTTTACTTTTATTATCACCCGACACATTTTAGGGCTGTCGCTCCTCTTCAGGTTAAAAAGCCTGAGGATGTAATTGTTTTCCTGAGAGAAAGTTACCTGCATCAGCGGAGGGAAAAGTTCTCAGAGTCCACAAAGTCAAAACACGCATCAAGTAAAGCTAATTTTAGCTCTTGTTTTTAACAAGAAAATGTTTGATGTAGCTGTCATTTTGGCCTGATTGTTGTAATATGTGCGTGGAGTTCCTGCAGCAGAATGATACTGACAATTGGACTGCCTGTGTGAACTAAATTTAATAGGAATGCATGTACAGTAAAATGAGTAATTTTTAAATTGTGTTTCCTTTTTTGATCATAGATTAATCACCTTTATTTTTGAGACCTGTTGAGTTAATTTCACCTGAAAACCACCAGCAAAATGACATTTTAGAACATAATTGGGGTCAAAATTCTCACGTTTGCATGTCTTTTGGAAACTTCTTGATTGAATGCACCAAAATATGATGTTGTAATTATTCTTACTTGAAATAAGGACCTAAGTAATACAATCCCAGTAGCTTCGTTGGTAATTTTGGTCAATTAAAGTTAATGCTTTTTGGAGGACAATAAAGTGATAAATAACCAACAACAACAACAACATATATTTTAAGGTTTGCTTTTTTTAACATGAGATTAAGATGCAAATTAATACTTTATTTACCCCAAGTTATTTTAAAAATTTCATTTCACTAAAAATGCACAAAGAACAAAAATAACAACAGTTCCTATAAATAGCACCTGCAGTTGCAAAAGGTTTAAATTTCTTTCAGCTTATAAAAAAAATCAAGCAACATTTTACAAAAAGTATCCCTTTTTAAAGTTACTTAATGCTTTATTAAGCATTAATAAATTATTTAAGAAAGTGTTGACAACTGCTTAACCATATTCTTTTATGCATTCCCCTCCCCGGCCTCCCAACCTTGAGGACATTTACCAATACTGGTATTGTTAATAAAGGGACCCTTTGTGTATTATTGCATTACATTAACATTAATGACATTAAAAAGGGACCTTTTTGAAAAGTGTTACAAAAAACCTGAACATAAAACAGAAAAAAAGTCATATTGCAACATAAAGTCTGATCTTATTTTGAAGGTAGACATTCATGACTGAATGCGACTACATCTTTTTCCTTTGAAGGGGGCCTTTTTAGTTATAGATTCTTGATACCAAACATGTCCATAAAGTTCTTTGCTCAAATTTTCCTCTCTAATAAAGCGATTTCTGCAGTTTCATTCTTTACAGGTTCCAGAATGAACCGTTTTAGGGCTCTGTCACTTTAAGAAAAGAAGCTGCTGGTCATACCCCCCACACTCAGGCTGCTATAAGCTGAGAAGCTCTGTTATCTGGGCGCATTGTGTAAGGTAGTTGTGAAAAAGGTGTGTGCATAATTCCAAAATTTGTATTCTTTTTTTATCTTTTAAATGTTGTATGCAAAATTCTTCTGTCATATGAGAGTCTGAAAATTGTGAAGGTTGGGAGGAGTTTGTAGTAAAACTGCTGCTTCGCCAGAAGCAGCTCTGGTTCCATTCTACTTTCCCCATTTGTGACATTACAAACAGGAACGTTTTGAAACTGCTCATTTTGGGCACATAATTCCTAAAACCAAACACTGACAGAAAAAAGATGGATGGAAAGGAACTGGGTGGGATTATTGAACTGGATTTGTGGGGGCCAATCAGAACCTCTGGAAAGTGTCGCACTTGAGAAGCTGCCAAAGCAAGAGGCGGGTTGGTTCGTGTGTATAAAACCAGTCTCCCCACATAGCGACTCATCCACCCAGCAGCACCGGAGCATTTCTCTTTTTATTCCAGGGGAGAAGTGCGCATCCTCATTATAAACCATGCACCTCCGCGCGCACGAGCCATGCCGTTCCCTTTTCTTGTTTTGTGTCCTCCTGAGGAGCTGTCATGCCTTCAAGAACGACGCAACGGAGCTGCTTTCACGTGTGAGCGTGCCGGTGCCGGAGGTGCAGAGCAACGCGTCCCTGAACCGAGCGCGGACCGGTGGGAAAGATGCGGGCGGCTCGACGCGCGACACAGGCGGTGAGTTGGAGGAGGAGGCGTGCTGCCCTGCAGAGGCATCCTGCAGTTCAACAGCATCATCTGATTTTAGCACAATTAGATTGGGTGTGGGATGCAAGACTTCAGTTTATTGGACAGAACGAGCTACAAAAAATGCCATATTCTTAATACGTTTATTATAAGTATATGTATTTTATATGATAAATGATAAATGACCCCGCACTTGTATGGCATCTCTCAGCATAAGGACTCCAAAGCGCTTTACACTACAGTGCATCATTCAGCCATTCACACACACATTCACACACTGATGGTGATGAGCTACGATGTAGCCACAGCTGCCCTGAGGCATATATCCTGCGTATAGGTCTATAAACCTATAATTTAAAACCTAGGTGTCCAAACTATTAAAGATGGTGAAAATCAGCTAATCCATAGTCCACAAATATAGATTTTTTTAATAAAAAATAATTTTATGTTGACTTTTTCTACTCAAATTGGTCTAAAAAAAGGCATAACAGTAAAGATCTGAACATAAACATTTTAGAAAGCATAATTTTTCATCAACAGCCCATTCATGCATTCATTCTAGAAATGCATCTGAGCGCTGCAAATGACCCCTGGGCTGCATTCTGGACACGTCTGCTCCCTTCAGCAGCCATGAAGAAAATGTTTCTGCAAGCTTATTGTTAAAAAAAATGTCAGTAAGAGCAAAGATTTTTTTCCTTTGCTCATCAGCAGAGTGAGCTGCATAACAAAAAACACACACCTGGCTGAATTCCAGGTAGCTGAGACCCCCCCTGCATAACTGTTGATCTGTGTTCTGCATAGTTGGGGGTAGAGTATAGCAAAAACACAATGCTGGAGCCGCTGCTCTCCTCATTCATCCAGCTCTGTCACTGAGCTGTATGGAGCTTTGTGAATGGAGAAGGGTTTGGGTTACAGCTGTGGAGGGGTGAGCAGGCGGATCGTGTTTGTAGCCTGCAGGAGAATAATGCTGCATGCTCAAAAAATAAAAAAATAAAAATCTCTGCTAATCAACGTTTTTTTGAAGAAGTATTCAAGGTCTTATGTTGCATCCTTATCTTGTGGCCAATATGGTAACACTGAAGTAGATAAAAAGACATTTTTATCATAATGAAATTAGGGTCAACCGATATCTGTTGTTCTATTGCTGATGCAATTTTTTTAATCCATTTTGTTTGATAATTTGAGGATGCATGATGAGTTTGTTTCTCAAACCTTTACTGCTTTTTTCACACCTCATCCTGTCTGCAACAGATCGGAGTCAAATAGGATGCAGAGAGTTGAGATCCACTAAGTACATCTCTGACGGCCACTGCACCAGTATCAACCCCATCAAGGAGCTGGTGTGTGCAGGCGAGTGTCTCCCAACACAGATGCTTGAAAACTGGATCGGCGGGGCTCATGGCAGGAAGTTCTGGTCTCGCAGGAACGGTAACCAGGACTGGAGATGTGTTAATGACAAAACCCGCACTCAGCGCATCCAGCTGCAGTGCCAGGACGGCAGCACAAGAACGTACAAAATCACCGTGGTGACATCTTGCAAGTGCAAGAGGTACTCGAGGCAACACAATGAGTCGGGCAGCAAGTTTGAGGATTCTGATGCGTTACCTCCACCGATCCTGCACAAACACAAATCTAAGAACAAAAAGAAGTTGGGCAAAAAGCGTCTGAGTGAGAACTGGCATGAGACTGAACCCTAAGAGCTGGACAACTTTCAGACTGACCATACAGCTGGGACGTGACATCTGGAAGTTACAGCTATGGATTATTGGACACGATTTATGAGAAGCTGCTTCCTCATAAGGTGGAACCTCCAAAGGGAACACTAAGAGCTTTATTTAGAAAAATGTGAACAGTGTAAAGCAAAGCATCAGCTCATGAATTCATTCTGCATGCTGAAAAAGATCTGCACCAAAAGCAGTAAAACAACATACAAGAAAATGTTTCTAAGATATCAAAATGTGTAAATATGTGTACATATAATAAATTCCTACTTGCATTTTGAAGTACGAGCATGTTTATAAGATTGATGCAAGAATTATGATGATTTCTACTTATACTTGTGTATACTGGAAACATACTTAAATACGTAAATGGCTTTGGCTTCAAAGTCTGGCATATGTTTGTCATTACCTGATGTTGTAATAATTTTTGTATGAAATAAATGAAATTTTCTGTCATGCGTTGTTTTCAGTGGTAGTTGTACTTACAGGCAGAGAGGCTAACATACAGCAGTTCTAGTATTATTGTAGACACAACTGTTTAAATACACGTTACTTCATTTTCTAACATTATTTGTGAAAATCAACCTGTGGTTGGCATACGTAGTCAATTTATTTTAAACAGAGTGAAAATTCTGTAAAATATTAATGACAATAGGAATTTTATTTTGCAAAATTAGGATGTCCAGTGAGGTTTGCAATTTTCAACATTATTTCAGATTCTGGAGCAGCTGCTGCAGATGAATTTACAAATCTGTGTCAAATCGTTGTTGTCTTGAACATTCATTTTTGTAAAAATAAAGTCAAAAACGGATAAATAATTTCTCAGGTGCATTGACAAATATACAAAATGAGTTCACCCCTGTTGTTTAATCAACTAAACCCACAACTTGTTACAACCAAATCATTCTACCGTAATCTAATTTGAATGGTTTGTAAACATCCAGTTGACTATCCTGCTTATCTGCTATCAATGAATTTCACCCTTTTCTACCCATTTGCATATGTAAATGCTTGCCTTGCTCTAATAAAAATGCAATAAAGTGTTATTATATAGGAACGAGTCTCTTTCACGTTAAAGAAAACGTCCAGTTTGCTTTTTAAAAGCCCCACAAGAAGCAGGGTCACAGACTTGTACTGTGATTTCCCTTTTTTATGCTCTTCAGGAAGTAAATTGTTCTCAAATACCTACAGCCTTTTATTTTGAAAGGATTTAACGGAACAACATCTGTTTTTATGAGTTAGCTTAATGTTTCCATCCTTCCACTTTGCTACGCTCTCGAACATCCCACACACCACGCAAGAATGAACTGTTTTGGGGAAAATATCCTTTGACACCACACCCACGTCCTCGTTTATAAACTAATGGATGTCAGTCCCGCCAAAGTGCAGAGCGATGCCAGTGAAGTGGGCAGGCCCGTTCATCCGGGGGGTTTCCTAGCGGGCGAGGCCGGGAAAAGCGACCACCTCAAAGCGGGACGCATCGTGGACTTCCCGGTGTCTGTGGTTCTACCTGCCGGCGGGACCGGAGAGAGAACCGGACTACAGACACCAAAACAGTTCTGTTCCTTTCTGGGAAGACCGCTTATAAGCTTCACTATCCAGACTTTTGAGAGGTAGGAGGAATAGTATGAGCCCTTTTAATGAACTGTTAGCTGAGGTACACAGAGGGGCTGCCAGAGATTTTGGGTCCCATGAAAAAATATCAAGTTGGGCCCCCTGGGGGCTTGTCCATAGCTGGAGCTGGAGTTCCACCCTCCCAGATTCGAAGGGAGAAAAAAAAAAAACAACCAACAACTTTATATTAGTGTTTCAGTTTTGCTTAATTATGTAGGTCTACATGCATTCTTACTTATTTACATATCATTTTCACCAACTGTCTCATTAAACAGTGAATTTCCTTCAACAGAATTAGCAATATCACTGCTGGAAAAAGCAGGAAATGCACATGCTGAAAGGTGTTAATCTCCTTTTCCCTTTTACTCCCTTAAAATGTGTTTATTCTAAAAATTTATTTGATGATAAAATTCAAATTTGGGTATCTAATTAAATTTCCATGTTGTGTCAAAGCTTTACATAACTACATTTTCAGCTGTCTTTCCTCATGAAATCAAGTATTTCTGTATGACTGACAAAAAATATGAATTCACTGCTCATAAGGTGACTTCTTTATTAAGTTTCCATGGCTTCATCATAGACATAAAATGAATAAGCACACAGTTCAAACCGGAGTCAGTTAGGGTTACATAAAATTTTAAAGTTGGACAACTTTGCATGAATACGTATATACTTTGTCCTGACCAAACCTGGCATTGGGAAGGTCCAGGCTCTGTACATAATGAAATTGTTATGTGTTGCAATATAGGCTATCATTTGTGGCAAAATCTTTATCCAAGTTACAACAGTCTTTAAAATTAATGCACAACAGGGAAAATGCAGCACAGACTCCTGCAGGATATTAGCTGTAGTTCTCCATCATCAATACTAGATTTCATATTTTATTGTGTTCAATGTTATATTAAGTTTATTTATTACAATTGTTAACAGCTTTTGTTTCAGTTTTGCTCTCTGATGAATTATTTGGAAATTATTGATTTTTGGTTTGTGTTCTAAAAGCTACATAAACAAATTACATCTTGTAAAACCTCCCATAATTCAGTCAGATTTGAAACATTTCATTTCAAGGTATTTAGTAGATGAAGAGGTTTGTTTTTTCTTGTATGGTGCCTTCAAAAAGGTGCTTCATAGTAATAATCTCACAATAATTTATGTTACATTAACAGACTAAATAACAATGCTTCAACCTGCCCAGCGTCCAAAACAATTTATACATTTTTACTGATTGATATTTATAATTATCATTGTGGAAAAACAATGTGTTTATCACCAAAAATAGCCTTTTTATATTCCTTTGTAATAGTACTGATAGAGAAGAGAGCCTTAAGTGATTCCCACAGACCCCCTTAAATGAGGCTGCTAGCTAACATGCTACATTGCTCACCTTCTTGAGTTTCATTGGGTTGTGAGGGGACACCTGCTGACATATCATCAGCTGCTGATTCTGGTAGGGACAAGGACGACAACACATTTACCATAATTAGAGGAAACATAGTTCCTCTTACTGTGGATATCAGAGCTAGCAAACAGGTTGAATTTAACCACTCAACCAAACCCACCTTTCTTTGAGGAAAAACTGTGTGACATACTGACGCCCTCTCTTCTGCCTGTCCTCTTTCTCCTTTCTTTCTTTCTTCGACCCAGACTTTGTTTTTGCAAACATAGTTTTACTGCAGCCTTGGCGCACTCTGCTGTCTGACTGCTGCGTGAGCTGGCTTCGCCTGGTATGCGCCCCTCGGCCAGGTGGACTGTGCCATTTTATGCCGTTGGGGGGGGGGGGGGGGGGGGGGGGGGGGGGGTTCAAATTAATTAGTCAAAATAATGTAGGGACCTCTGAATAAATATACATTACATAAAGACTAAAAGATTGTTTGTTTAATGTCTTAAATGAGAAAAAAATACTGCAAAGTAAAGTACTTGTGATTTTTAAACTAAATTTTTTTTATTCAACTTTGAAACGTTTTTGGGCCCCTGGCAGCTGTGGGCCCTTAGAATCTTCCTAATCTTTCACCGCTTTATGGCGCCCCTGGAGGTACATGATAGGAAAACATAATGCAAAGGCCGGATGTACTGGATTAAGTGGCCTGGGGTTAAAAGGACCCCAAAATGTTGGCCCCAAATTTAAAATGTGTCTTCCACGTTAAACACATGTTGAAGCCCATGTAACAGGCTTATATTTTCATTAAAAAATGAAGACATTTGAAAATAAAAGGTGCTATTACTGTTCCAACTGAGCTCTCGTAGCTTATCCGTCTTCAAACAGCGCCTCTTGCTGGAAACCAGAAGTGACGTCACTCAAAGAAAACGTTCCTGACTCTGCTCAGGAACAAATGGATTTGCAGCAGCTCGAAGCTCCAGATTCTGGATCGGAATATACATTTATCTGTAATACTGAAGGTTCACAGCCATACGGCAGCAAGGGTTTATGGGAACAGGCTAAACAGGGGCAATTAATTTAAATGGTGAAAGACGAGCTGCTGAAGCGTGGGAATTCAAAATGCACACAGACTTGGAAACACTAACTGGTATGAGCATTTTTTATTTAAATATATTTCAACAGAAACTTGTCCCCTGACGTATTACATTGAAACACGTTGTGATAAAAATAATTTTTATTCTCTAATTTACGAGTTTCTAAGGTAATTAGATCATATTTGTTGCTAATTTTCTGACTCTGAATCCACCGCTATGTTGGCTATGCAAGCTTGGCATTGGTCTAAAACAATCACGTGCGTGCCACTTTACTACTTATTCTCAAAAGAGAGTAGTCCCGCTTCAAACAGCGATCAGAAAAAGCGGGTCTACTTTAGGTAGGAAGAAAGTTTACTTTTGAAATCAGTACACGTGTACTTTTTAAATGAATCAAACGGCTAGTTGCCACAAGAGGTGGGAACGAGATCAAAAGAAAAGGACGACATTTAGCTCTGGAGTGTAACCACTTTGCTGCCATATTGGCTGGGTCCCTCACTCTCCAAAATGTAATTGGTGTCAGCGGTGAGTGAGCAGCTATGACTGTTTTTGTTCAGTCTACGGTTCCGACAACAGGCGTACTATTGAAAACAGATTATGAGGGATTACTATTGACTTCTAACCCAATAAATGTACTGGGGGCGACAGGTGACCCATCCAACATGGTGACCCGGAGTTACAGCAGCACCAATAGAAAGTTCCAGCCCATGTCACTTCTATGGTCTGATCTCTGTGCTTCTCATATTCATTTTTTTCTTTTTGGAAATCAATGAATGTGATGTCCAGACAAACAGGAGTTTTCTCATTAACTCGTTCACTGCCAGCCGTTTCCTGATCAGTAAAGCCCTTCGCTGCCAGCGTTTTCACAGTTTCTTTAAAGAGTCACAGAAAGTTGCGCACTAGGATGATGTCAACACCAAAACTACCAAAACAAATATTAGACTCACCTCTTACATCAGGAAGAATCCGCGCGTTTTGAACGTTATCTGTTCTTTTATAATCCATAGTTGAATTGTAATCAGCAGAAGCTTTTCCGGTTCGCGCCACACTTTTTTCTACAGCAGCGGCCCAAAACGATCTCCTAACACATGGATTTTCTGGTTCCTGATCACGTGACGTGTGACGTACGCAGATGAAGATCGGCTTTAGAACTGGGATGTTTGCTCACACAGTGCGGTGGCTCGTTCAGACGCCCACACAGTAAAAAAAATGGCAGTGAATGAGTTAAATTTGAAGCACGTACATAGGTGGTAGTTTAACGTTATTGGTTGGTTCTGATCGGCGTTATGTTTCCTATTGCACGGAGCACTGTGGGGCAGGGGGCGTGCTTTGCAAAAAACAAAAATAAAGACGTATTGCTTAAATTATATCACAGTACATGAGACGGTCACTTTCACGGATTTCTGAAAAATCATAAATACTTTTTGAAAGGGAAAAACTCCAGAAAGATACTTTAAGGGTTAAAGTAACATGTAATGCATGCTATTATTTACACAGTTTACTCTCTTTTGATTGTCAGTGCATGATTTATTTTAATCACAATCAGTTAATGAAGTATTTAATCTTATTGGCAGACATGTAGTCAGATTTTCTACAGATTTCAGGCTCTTTGTTGTTCAGAGGTGGGAAAGAGGATGTTTACATGATGTTTTAATCTGTTTTTAATCACAAATGTTATTAAAACAAAAATCAGATGCATCTTATTAGCTTGTTGGTGGTTCATTTACTCGTCAGGAAATGAACGGAGAAGCGTAGAGCCAAATAGAGTCAACTTGTGTGGCCCCGTGGTCACAGGGAGGTTCTGTGTTGAGGAAGGTCAGAGGTCAGTGGATTAAGCAATGCTGGTGTCTTCAGAATTTCCACCCACATTACTCACTTTTCTACAGTAATTTGCTTTTAGCACAGACGTATCACATTGATGTTGAAAGACTAAAGAGATATCCTTTTTGTTGGTTTTATCTTTTAAATCTGCCCGTGTTGCAACTTTCTCCATGTTTCCTTTCTAATAACACAAATTAGCCTATTTTAATTTTTAAGGGAAGTCAGGGCTTATTAGACCAATGTTTTTGAGCTGTTGTGTGTTCTTGCAGGGTGTCATGGATCCAAAACATTGTGGTTGTTGTTGCCAAAGAAAACATGGACATGATGATGGACATCATCCAGCGATTCCAGCACAAGAAGGTTCAAGTTATTCCAGGCGGCTCGACTCGCCACAGGTCAATATGCAACGGAGTCATGGCTCTCGGCGAGGAGGAGAGGTCGGCGGATGACAAACCAAAGGTGGTCATCGTACATGATGCGGTGCGCCCATTTGTGGAGGAGGACTTTCTGCACAAAATAGCAGTGGCTGCCAAAGAGCAAGGGGTCAGTACGGCAACAAAACTATTTGGAGAGCATAATGAATGAGTTTAGGGAATGTCATTTTGGTTTACTACCTTGGACAACCAATGGCCAAACTTGTCTTTGCTAAAGATTCTTCATTAAAAACACATTTTACTGCACCGAGTACACATGGTTCCGTTTCTTAAAGAGAAATGGTCGGGTAGATGAGGGCTTGGAAAAGAGTGATTAATGGTGTTGCATTGAACTTATAAAAAATCAATGAAAAACAGTGCAGAGCAAAAATAGACTGCTGTTTCTAAGTTCCTTAAAGATTGTAATTCATATTTTTTACTTATGCATTTTGACTTTTATTTCCTTACGGACAATAAAAACTTAAAAACATATATTTTGCTATTGTATATAATGTTTTAATTGATCTCAGTTACAGCCTGTGAGAAATGTAGGAAAATTGGTCTGGGGCAACTTTTTGACTTTAAAGGAATATTCCACCCCTAAGTGAAAATTAGTTTGTTGCCATATTCCTCAGATTTAGATTGGAAGGAAGAAGCATTTTGTAACCAGTTTGTGAATTATATACTACAACGGCTTGCCGTACATCCTGCTCCTGTGTGTGGAGACCATCGACACACACACACACACACACACACACATATATATATATATATATATATATATATATATATATATATATATATATATATACACATATATATATGGTGGAGAAACAGACTTGTAACTGTAATGTGACTCGTATCTGCAGCGGCTCTGATCCATAGCGCTGCAGAATGAACAGGATGGTGGGGACTTTTCATCCGCTTGTAGAGTTTAGTCTTACCATCATCATATATTTTTCTGTGCGCCACTTGATCGTGAGACTCCTGCCCGTTACCTTTAGCATTAGCCAATCTGCCTGTAGCTGCACTTTTGATCCCAAACTTTGGACAAGTTCTGCCTATGCTGGTTTCTTTATTTTCCTCCACTGCATCCAGATGACCACACTGTGCGCCAGTCAAAAGCATTTTTCTTACACGTAACTTACTTTTGTTCAATATAGTTCTGGGGAAAATATTAATTCAAAGATGTTGCAGCAGTGCTACGTTTAAAAAGAGACCGTTTTTTTCGTCGCACTGTACAGCCCTGCTCTGATATGGAAGAGCCTGGGGGGAAATCAGGACGTCACTAGCACCAACCATAGATATGTACCAACTAGCGAGAAAAGCAAATTTTGATCTTCTTTTTTCTGCAGCAGTTTTAGCACTTTCCTGTGCACCGCTGCTGATACAGCGCCCCTATAGTGGCACAACGCTGCAACTGCAGTTAAAATAACATCCATATAGCTGGGGGCAGAATGAAATCAGGCTGGGGCGGCACAAAATTAGCTGGAGGCGACCACCATGCCAATTTGAATGCAGGAAAAACCCTGAGTAACATAAAGGTGCCACATTACAACAAAGCATCGTTGTAAGCTGCCGCTGTAAGACACAAGGACACAGCGGCTCCAGTAGACATCTACTTCGTCACGTGTTCTGCCATTTTTAGTGGAATTTACTATTAGGGATGTCCTGATCAGGTTTTTTGCCCTCAAATTCGAGTCTGAGTCATTTGATTTTGAGAATCTACCAATACCGAGTCCCGATCCGATACTTTCGATACATTAAAAAATAAAGAAAGAAAAGGAAGAAACAGTTCCACAATGTTCCTTATTTTTTATTTACATTACCTTTTTATTTTAATTTGTATCCACAGATAACATCTGTGAGGTAGCTTGAACAATCAAGTAATAAATAACATAAAGTCTTCACTTTTGGACTTAATGCAAATATAAAAAGTCTAATATAAAACCAGATAGCACTTCAACTTAAAATACCTGGCAGGGGTCTATTTTGCCTCGGCCCCCAAAATGCTTAGATACGTCCCTGGGCATGGGACGGAGTTTTGAAGATGATCTGAATTGTATCAACTATATAAATACTACATGCTGACAAATGATTGCTTTATACAGGTACAAACGTGTAGTGGAATCAATCTACCTACAGTTTATTTTTTTAAGAACTTTGTTTTGTTTTCTTGGTTTTTAGTTTCCTATCTTCCTGTCCTGTCTGTTGCTGATCTTCCTGCATCTCCCAGTCCTCCAGAAAAACTCCTGCCTGCTTCCTTCTTTTTCACCTCACAAGTAACTTTTTAACTAGCTGATCAAATTGATCTATTGACCGCAAAAAAAAAAAGCGGAGTGTGCTCTGCGCTGCCCGGCTGTGCCAGTGACGAGCGCTGCAGCGGGGGCAGCGTGAGCGCGTCCACACGCCATGCTCAAATACAGACAGAAATTACCAGAGAGAAAATGAACGGACACGAATGACTGTGTGTTAATTATATATTTTTTGGTGACGCCACTTAGAAACGTAGAAAATGTTACTGTGGCCGTGTGCAGAATGCAGCTGGAGTTCATGAATAATCAACGGTCTGCCTGCCGCTCTGCATCTCTGCTCAAAAGAATCCCCGCTATGCTGAGTCCATATAAAATAGGTAGAAACTGGATCTTTTTTGTGCTCCTTCTGGGTGTGTAAGTGAAGGGCATCAGGGGAGCCTGACAACCTTTAAGGAGAACCAAGTTGCTCCCCTGTAATTTGAACCCAGTATCCGAGTCCGGATCGGGCCTTGGATTGGGAAGTAAAGCCCGAGTCCCGATCAGTCTGAAACCACGTGATCGGGGCCGATTTCCGATCATGGGATTGGATCGGGACATCCCTACTTACTGCTGCTCCAGATATAAGCTTAGTAGCCACACATTTGTGTTTAAAGCAATGGGTGCCTCTTTAAATTGAATGATTGAAATGCTAGCTGTTACCATTTACTTAAATTGTTTATGCTAAGCTAAAGCAAGCGGAATACCGCCAGATTAGATGAATGGTTGGGCTGTTTCCTACTTAATTTCACTTAGGGGTGGTATACCCCTTGAATTCTGTAATGATTACAAGATTAATAGTTTTCGAACGTTTACAACAGGAGATTTTACTCAGTTTCAATTCAGTTTCCATCTATAGTGCCAATTAAGAAAAAATATCCCTGGACAATGTACAGAAACGCAAACAAGCCCTATTTATATCAAATTACATGCAATCCAATTACAATTATTTTAGTATTCATGTCTTTTATTAGGAAATTTCTCTGTACCCGTAGCAAAGGTTAGAGAATCATCTGTGATGGCAAAAATAATACAGATAGACTTTTGAAAATCACACTCTGCCTTTAAAATAACCTTTTCTTTTCATGGCTGTTTGTGGATCTACCAAGATGATGTGGAAACATCATCCTTTTTAGATTAGAGTTGCAGTTGTGGATAGAACAAAGGGAAATGTACCGTAGTTTGCAGATATCTCAGACCAAACAAATTTTCTAGTGATAATTAAACATCCTTTGAAGGATTCACTCTTCCTGCCTTGAGGTTCTGATTTGGAATTTCATAAGTTGTTCAAACCCCAAAATCTGACCGAAACAAATGGCCTTCAGATGATTCACTGCAAGCATTTTGCTTATTAGTCTCATGACTGTTCTGTGTTCAAGGCTCTATAAGTGCCACAGTGTGAAAAAAAATTGGTTCTTGTGAAGGCAGGAAATATTTATTTCCACGCGACAAGCAACGCAGAGCATAATCATAATCCCTTACAAATGAGAGAAATAACCTTGAAAGCCGCTCTGTCCTCATGCCTGGAAAGTGTAGCGTAGCTAAACAAAGTCTTGACTGGAGCCCATACTTCATCTTTTCCTTAGCCTTTAGCTGAAAACCAGAGAAAGTCAATTAGAGAACAGAATTTAAACAAATCCACCATGCCTAACCATGACGAAGTCAAATAATCCACCTGGTATGAAAACAAGTGTTGAACAGCGGGAGTTGTTTGTGTGCCGTGTGTTTTTTTAATTTTTACACCAGGTAGAGTAAACTTAGTACAACCTTTTTCACAATAGGAAACTTTTTTTGTGCCTCAATATAACATAAGAAACTTTGGGTTCAAAATGTACCAAGGGCCCTGATAAATGACCACCTACAACCTACAATAGTGGTTTGCCCCACCCACTTGGCAAGGGCATGTATATTAAATGACCAAGGTGCTGATTGGCCGGTTTATCCTGATGGCTTTTGGTGTGTTTGATTTGTCCTTGGAACTCTGAAATCCCGACTTCCAAGTAGGAAAATTCAAATGATACGCCCCCCAAATTCGGACCTCCCAGTCGAACACTCGGAAGAATTTCAGAACTCCAACCTCGACATCCAAAATGGCAACTCCCCATCCCAACAGTAATGTTTGGGTGAAATGTGTTTATTTTACAAAACACACTTATAAGAGTGTGTTTAAAACCAATGCTGCATGTAGTGCTTCCAACTCTAAGCTGAACACACTAAAATTTTTGTTTGCATGTTGAATGTAGAGCTTAAAATTATATTATTAAGAGGAATTTACAAACAATATCTACTTGGGAGGTGTGCGTCGCCATATTGGAATCCTGACTTCAGCTACAGTAACCAGAACGCGGTTAACTTAGTTGTGGCTCCATTCTCAGTTCCGACTTCCGAGGTCAGTCGAACGCACCATTCATGACACAGCCTGAAACTAGAAACTTTGGACATTTGTGTACAGTATCTGGAAAACTCGATAGGAAAGCTATGGATTTATCTGGCATTCATTCAAAGACTGAATATTCCCAGTTCATCTTGGAGCGTTACGTGTGTGCTCCAACATTCTTCTCTGTTTACCTCTTGTCCAGCAAGGACAATAGTAGTTTGGGCTAATGCTAGCAGTGGCTAGGGCTAGAGTCATCAGTATCTTGAGCTAGCAGTAGCTTGAGCTAGTGTAAGCTGTAGCTTAGACTAGCTTTACCAGTACAAGTGGGTTGGGACATGCAAATTTAAAGGTGCTGAACACCATTTTTAAAAATCTTATTTCCGATTATAATCGGTCACACAGAGTTTTTATGCAGGCTGAACGTGAAAATAGTCTCCTACACCTATCTCCTGCATTAGCTTCTGATAGAAAAAAGACGATGAAACGCTAGGATTTGAACTCTAGGATGGACTCTCCCATCTTGACGCACGACGGGGAAGGCTGTTATTGGGTTAGCATGCAGGAAACCGCAGAGAATGTCTCGGCTGGTTGAAGCTAGCCATTAGCATTAGCAACACCACCACACAGCAGAACTCTTCCAGGCTTGTGTTATTTGTGGAGATAAAACATCAATAGTGCAAGTCAGTGGTAGAGTTGGTTTGATGTTATCCCATCAAAGGCGAGATGTCCTAATGTCAGGAAATAAGATTCCAAAACCTGCCGTATGAAGCTCAGCTGTGATGTGGCTCACTTTTAGTTCCTGGTAATGATGCACCTGTGCTTTTCTGCCCCAGAGTACGATTTACAAGGCATTCATTACTTCTGAGATCACTGCAAATGAATTGATTAAATGAGAGTTCAACACCTTTAAGTGTGTGTGTTTCTAAACTGGCTACAGCTCTTGTGACATGTTAAACCAGCTTTTCTCAGAACAAGTCATTTCTCTGCAGCCATTACACCATTACTAATTTAAATCAGAAAGTAAGTCGGAGAAGGCACAGACCTTTTGGTACATTTGACACCCCATGCTGCGTTTATTCAACAACAACAACAAGGAGAAAGTTGTCTTAAAACAGCAAATAAAAAATTTCAAACCAAAGAAAGCAATCTAGTTTGATGACTGCGCTTTATTTTTTCTCTTAAAAACAAGATGAATCCATCTTTAGAGAATGACAGTTCGGGTGGTGGTTTCATTCTTTTGGCACAGGACAGCAAACATTAACAGCATGTTAAAGACAAGGATTCATAGATGAAACTCCAGCTGAGAGTGCTAGGAGCTAACCCAAACACTGCTTCTTTTTAACTTTCTAGTTTTCATTATCCTGCCAGGATCCACCTTCCAAACATAAAGCTGGTCTCCAGTTAAATAAGCAGCTAATTACATTTGATTTTTCCATCATGTGTAACACACAGGACTTTGTGCTTGGTTTGTTTTTATCCTGTTGGAAAGCACACTCCCACCTGTAAAAGGATTTGCAGATACCAGTGTTTAATTTCCCACTTTTACAGAAGAGTGTATAAGTTTTTGAAGATAATGTCACTAAATCCTAAAAACTTTTTGTTTTCTTCATCCAGGCAGCTGGAGCCACTCGACCACTCGTTTCCACCGTAATAGCCACAACATCCGAGGGCTACCTGGACCATTCTTTGGAGCGTGCCAAGTACAGGGCCAGCGAGATGCCTCAGGGTTTTACATATGATGTCATCTATCAGGCCTATCAGAGGGTAGGAACCGTGGTCTTTACCTTACCGTTACCTTATGGTGGTGCACAGGTGAGACATATTACTTTGTGCAATTATCTGTCAGAGATAGCAGGATGTTTAAAAGATCTTGTCAATGTGTGAAAATAAAATGTGATGCTATAAAATAATGTGAAAACAATTTAAGTCACTCTTTCAGTTTTTATTTTTATTTGTTGAAAGCGTAGGTTTACTTTGTCAAGATCTTTGGATAATGACAAAAAGAATGAGATCAGAGATACAAGTGGACAAAATGAGTTTCCTCCTAAGGGTGTCTGGGCTCTCCCTTAGAGATACGGTGAGAAGCTCATTTGGTCAGGATGCCTCCTGGACACCTCCCTGGTGAGGTGTTCTGGGCACGTCCAACTGGAAGGAGACCTATAAGGAAGAATCAGGACACGATGGAGGGACTACGTCTCCCAGCTGGCAAGGAAACGCCTTGGGACTCCCCAAGGTTCATGAGAAACCTGTAACACTTGTTCTTTTCGGTCGCTCCGAGTTTAACATGCAGGCTGAACGTAAACATGTTCTGCAATCCTTATTGCTTGCATTAGCTACAGTAAGAAAATAGATGAATAAATCAGTGATTGGCATTAAAATATAATATTGGAAAATATTGGTATCTGTTTTCAGTCTCTTAATGACCCAACTTTTAGATACCATACACAAATTATATATCGAACTCTTCAGCTACATCTCCTCTTTCTCAAAATGTCAAAATATAACAGATCTGAGGTAAAGTTTGTGAGATGTTTTCATTAATTTGGCTCAACTACTGAAGTAGAAATTCGCCCTGTGTAGTGAAAGTACGATGCTTAGCTAGACAGCTAATAAACAAGTCTTTATTAATGTTTTATAACCTTAGCTGCAGTTGACGACAAAATAAATATGGTACTTTTCCTATTACTACCTTAAATTGAAGTAGTTCTCAATTTGCACAGAACATGTTTAAAGTGTAAGCATGGATGATAAGAGATATGTGATGCTAGTGACCTAAAATGTTTTAGTTTTTCTTTTATACAACAGGGAACCCAGCGTATATCGTATCGGAAATTAAGTCCTACAATATCGGTGTAACTGATATCTGTAAAAAAGACAACATTGAGTATCCCTACTGGAAACCTTCAACCCCGCAGGTATGCAGGGTGATCTGATCACTATAAATGTCACTCAGATCTCTAGAAACACTGACACTGATCCTCTAAAATCACATGGCAATAATGACAAAAGGTTTAAAGATCCTTGGACGCTGCAAGAGATCTTTACACTCCATCATTGTTGGAATTATGTGCCAGAACCTGCAGGTTTTTACGCTGAAGAGCTCATGGTGTGAGTGTCATTGCCCTTTTTCTCTTTCCTTCTACCCTCTGCAGCATCTGGGAAAGACTTGACATGTTCATTTATTCAGCCTCTGTCACAGACGAGGCTGTGGAACAGAAATGAATAAAAGCTCATTTGGAAAAATGATAAATACTGGAATAAATTTTATTCTTAGCCAGACTCAGATTAATTCTCTCAGCACTGGACTGCAGTTGAACATTTCCTACCTGCAAAATGGAAAGAATTTATCTGCTGATCCACTTTAGAAGTGTCTGGATCTTTTCTCTGAAAGCAGCAGGATTTTTAAACTGAACCCGAAATCCAAGATTCAGAAGTTGATGGTGATTATTTTTGTTGAGATGTATTCATTTTTCTGTTTCAGCTAATGTCCTCCCGTCTTTGATGCAGCAGCCCTGTTGCTGAGAGCCCAGTTATAGCTTCTTTTCATTTGTGGCACGTATGGATCTTCTGGTTGAGAAGTGTTTTTCAAAATGTGAGCTCATTCCTGTGTCGAGGCTGGTCATGTTGCAAGGAGCCTCATTAGGAAGGTCGTCTGAGAGTGTGCCCCCCCCAACACACACACACACCTTTGAAAAGAGTCAAAAGTGTAAGGTATCTTTCAGGGTAAGACTTTAGGATATAGTCATGAAAAATCTCTGAGAGCTTCACGTTTGTAGCTTGACATCTATTGAGGGAAGATGAACTAAAGGCTGAAAAGACAAAGGAGGAGACACTTTATCTGGACTCCAGAGAGGTCTTTTGTATTTGGAGAGAAAGCTAAAGGTTAGATTACCTCAAAACCACGAGCACATTTCTTGAGCCACAACTGTTTCAGTCTTCAAACTGTGCCGGCTGTAAACGGAGAAAACGTACGATGACTGGATCAGCAAAGTATTTGGCAGCTACCTACTGTGAAAGTTGTCCCACTTAAAAAGATGAGAGATGTTAGTCATTTTCATCATAGGAACACTTCAACAGTGGGAGAGATTGTAAAACAAATCCAGTAAATCACATTGTATGGTTTTTAAAGAGAAAGAGAACGTTTCCTGTAGGTCATCACCAGGTTTGACCCACCCTTCCATGCAGATACATTGCCCCATTTGTTTTTTTCTTAACACAGATCAGTTGTCTTGTTCCAATTTGCTGCTGAGGACAGGAGCATCCATCTACCTTCCAGTTGTCCAAATGAGTTGCATTTTCACAGTTTTTCACCAAAAGACCTTTCTGAGAACGGTTCTTCTACTCGTGTGTTCCCTCTACAGTGCACTGAGTCAGACTTGGAGTTTGGGACTGAGTGTCTCCATTTGGCTCTGCAGTACTGTGGCACCAACGCAAAGCTTATTGAAGGTCCGCCCACGCTGTGGAAGGTGAGTTTTCCAGGATCCTGCGTTGGGTCAGGGATTGTACATTCAGGGACACGTTAAAGGTTGAATATGTAACTGCTTAATAAAAAGCTATAGTTAAAAAAAATCATACCTCCATGGGGCGTTTAGAGATGTGCAGAATGAAGGGACAGTATTTCCTTGAAAGTATTTAGTTTTGAATTAAACATCACTAGGGTTGGGCCACATCTGGGGTCATGGGGAAGCTGATTCCATATATGAGCAGCATAGTAACTAAATGCATTTTAACCTTGTTTGGCTCTGACCGTGGTTCTACCAGCTGATTGTTTCCATGGGATCTCAGAGCCCTATTGGGTGCATATACAGGAAGGAGATCGGACATGTATTATTAGTTAAAACATAATCAAATACTAATTTTCACGGCATGGCACTGGGTTTATGTTTACATCTACCAGTCAATAGAGGGCTCCATTGCGGGTTGCCAAATACAGCCAGCGGTCCACTCGGCACAGCGAGGCTGGCACTGTGGAAAATGGCGGATTCAGCAAGTCAAGCAGCTGCTTCTGAGCCCCAAAAATGTTCTAACATTAAATATTGTTGAGAAGTAAATTTATTAGTAGAAATGAGTCCTTACCCTGTATGATTCTTTACTGGGCATGGTGCTAGCTGGTCACTTCCTGTATCAACAGTGAACCTGACATCTCGGTGGCAGGAAACCTTGTTCTATTGTTGCAACTAAAACCTCCAGACACTAGATGTCGCAATGGTGTTTGTGTTCCATAGTCAACCTTTAAGTGACATTTAGGCTGATAAGGCTGATTGCCTTTCAGTTGTTTGAAAAAAATAAAATAAGTAAAGGTTGCTGGCAAAAAGTACAATAATGACCATGATTCAGAAAGTAATTTGATCATCCGTTTTACACCATCTTTGTTTACAGCTTTGATGAGCTTCTGTAGATTAAGTGAACGTCAAAAAAAGATTCTAAATTTGATAAAGTTTGGAGCTTTAGGGATTAAAGTAAAGCAACTTGCCTTATTGATGGTGTTTAACTGCTGACGAATACAAAGTAAATAATTCAGTCAAGTTTTAAATAAAATCCTATATTTTTGGGTATGAATCAAAAATAACGTTGTTATAAACGTGCAAACGTTAAAGTACATTAATTGTTCATAACAGCGTTCTTCCTTTCACCTTTTTATTCTGTCCGCTGCGGCGTCCGTGGACGAGTGCTGTGACTGTTATAATAGACCAGGGTCACTTCCGTGACACTGGCCAACAAAGAGACATCTTTCATTACCTACAACAAGGCCCACTCACCAAACTAGTTTTTATTATTTTTTAAAAGTTTTCAGAAAAAAAATATTAAGATGGGCAAACAATGTCCAGTTGAAAAAAATGTATGTATTTTATTTTTAAAGCAAAACTTTTTTGATTCAAACAAAAAAATATTTGATTTAAATATTTGAAATTCCCCCCTAATTTCACATCTCTAACACATTTATTTGTAAACGGTTAGTGTGTGGTTATTATGACTCTTTTGAATATCTTTCCTTCGAAGTTAAAGGTACACCCAAGTTACTTGCACTTGTTATCCACAGACCACCAGGACCCTCTCAAACTTTCCTAAACGACTTTGCCAAGCTCCTTTCTGTTCACACTATAGGTTATGCACACCTTATCATTGGCAGGGATTTTAGTATTTATGTTGACAATGCTACCAACAGATCTTCAGAACAATTCCTTGATTTGCTTGAGTTATTTGACCTTAAACTAAATGTTCGTGCTCCAAAACACAAGCAGGGCCACACGATTGACTTAATCTTAACTAGAGACATTGATGTGTCTAACATTGTTGTCATAAGTGTGGGCCTATCTGATCACTTCAGTGTTCTCTCAGAGATATCAATCTCACCTGCTACACTTCAATCTATAGTTGTTTGCAAAAAAAGGTACATAGGTGATTGCACTGCTTCAGCTTTTGTGGAACAGATGAACATGTCAACACGTACAACATCCAGCTGCGTTGATTCACTTTTAGCCAGCTTCAATTCCAAAGCCCTTGAAGTCCTTGACACCATTGCACCTGAAAAACTCAAAATTATCTCTGGTAAACAGAAAGCTCCATGGAGGTTCTCTAGATCTGTTACTTACCAAAAACGAGAATGTAGAAAAGCAGAGCGCCGATTCAGGAAAACTAACCTACCAGATGCGGAGATAAAAAAGGCAAAAATAAGCCTTTTTCTCAAGTCATCAGTGACAACATTAACAATTCCCGTGTCCTGTTTGCTACTGTCGAGAGGCTAACTAATCTCCCAGCACAGTTAGCCCCTGATTTCATATCAGACTAAGTGTGATGAGTTTGCATCCTTTTTCGCTGACAAAATCACAAACATTAGATTAGCCATTCATTCCTCTAAGTCAACTAACACAGCCAAACCATGGACACGCCCACACAGCAACAACCTGGCTACTATGCCAGCTTTCAGCCTGATTAGTATTAAAACACTTGAGGACATAGTAAAGACCTTGAATTCATCTACCTGCTGTCTGGACGGCCTGCCAACAAACTTCTTTAAAAATGTTTTTAGCTGCCTGAAAGCTGACATACTGGAAATTGTTAACTGCTCTTTAATGTCAGGAATTTTCCCTAAATCACTGAAAACTGCCGCTGTTAAACCCCTTCTAAAGAAGAGGAATCTAGATCCCTCAGTAATGAGCAACTACCGACTGATCTCTAATCTCCCTTTAATCTCTCTCTGATTGGGAAAAAGCAGTAATGATCCAAATAAACAACTTTCTGGAATCAAATGACATTATGGATGGTTTTCAGTCAGGCTTTAGACAGCACCACAGTACTGAGACTGCACTGATCAAGGTATTAAATAACATTTGTCTAAACACTGACCTGGTTAAAGCATCTGTCCTGATGATGCTTGACCTCAGTGCAGCTTTTGATACAGTGGACCACTACATACTCCTTGACAGACTTACAAATTGGGTGGGACTATCTGGTACAGTCCTTGCCTGGTTCCAATCATAGCTGGAAGACAGGGGCTTTGTTGTCTCTATTGGGGATCACAAATCAAAGCTGATCACCATAACGTATGGGGTCCCCCAAGGCTCAATTCTGGGACCGCTACTCTTTAATCTCTATATGCTCCCCGTGGGTCAGATCATACTTAAAACAACATTGCCTATCACAGCTATGCCGATGACACGCAGATCTACCTAGCCCTATCACCTAGAGACTATCGTCTGCTGGACTCACTCTGTCAGTGCCTAGAGCAAGTAAACGACTGGATGCAGTCAAACTTCCTTCAGTTAAACAAAGACAAGACTGAAGTTATTATCTTTGGCATAAGAAGTTTAGGATGGATGTTATTGATTTGCTGAACTCCAAGGAAATAAAGACAAAGACCCAGGTTAGAGATCTTGGTGTTATTATTGACTCTGACCTGAGCTTCTCTGGACATATTAAGGCTAAAACTAAATCAGCGTTTTATCAACTTCATCAAATAGCAAGAGTCAGAGGTCTCATGTCCAGACCAGAGTCAAAGAAAATCATTCATGCTTTTATTTCTAGTCGGCTGGACTACTGCAATGGTCTCCTAACTGGTCTTCCCAAAAAAGCTGTGAAGCAACTGCAGCTTGTTCAGAATGCTGCTGCCAGAGTCTTTACAAGAACTAAGAGAATGGAGCACATCACTTCTGTTCTTAGATCTCTACACTGGTTACCAGTAAACTACATAATACATTTCTAAATGCTCTTACTAGTTTATAAATCACTCAATGGCATGGGGCCAAAGTACATGTCAGATCTCCTTCCTGCATATACACCCAATAGGGCTCTGAGATCCCTTGAAAACAATCAGCTAGTAGACCTTGGGTCAGAACCAAACAGGGTGAAGATGCATTTAGCTACTATGCTGCTCATATATGGAATAAGACACCATGTTTTCTTCTACGGAAGCCCATGAGGACAAAATGCATTTACTGAATTGTAACAAACGGTTACAAAACTTTCACCATTCATAAACTTCTTCACATTTACCTCTACGCTCGTTCCCATTGATAAAGGAAGTCTGATATGTTTGTCATTTTGCTGGAGGTTGAACAATCTGACGCAGAACATGTTCCCAGGGATTTTTGACCCTAATGGCTTGCTTGCAACAATTTACGTACGTACCGCCCCCTAGCGCCAGGGAAAAAACACACCGTCACTTTAAGGCAAATAAAAGCTTTTGTTGAATGTATTTTTGCTTGCTTTTTTCCCAAAACTGAATCCGACTTTGATTTTCCTTGTTAAAAAATGATTTTGTTCATAAGGAAAGAAGCAAAACAAACTCCGTAACTTCCTTGCAGAATTCAGTGCAATAAGAATATTAATAGCTGAGCAAACTGTAGGCTGTTTAACCTGAGAATCTTAAAAAGCTTCAGATTTCCTGGAAAAACGTCTGGAACTTTATTACATTTTATAGACAATTGAACAGAGACGAGCATAATGCATTACTAAGCTTAGCCCTAAAAATCTGTTCAATTATTATTCTGGATCACCAGAATTTTGTTGATCATATCTAATGTGAACGTCAGAGATCCATCCCAGAGATGTTTTTCTAACACATAAAACTGAAATAATGCGCTGAAGTATTTTGTCCCTCAGGTGACCTATAAACGAGATCTGGCTGCTGCAGAGTCTATTATTAAAGGTGAGTTACCGTCCTCGTAAATGTGTCTTTACACAGCCTGTCATATTGTACACAGATCTTTTTTAGTATGTAGCCATGTATGAATGGCTGTTTACAGCCGGGCTCCTCAGACAGGTTAAATGGTCACAACTGAGCAGAACGAGGGTGTTTTGTCTGTTTTTGTGTGGTCTGGAGTTAGACTTGAATGGGTGACATTGAACTAAAATAGTCTGTCACTGTGTTCTGAGGAAGACATTCTTTCTCACACTGTTGAGCCTGATATGAACAGGGTGGGTGCAGGCTGCCAGTAAAGTCAGAGGAGAGCAAGTCAGGACACGGGGAAACCAGCAGAAATAAACATAGTCCTACGTTTCACCCCCCAGCACCTGGACCAACAAGTGCCTGTGTGGTGGTGACACAAGGTCCACAGTTATGAATCCCAGAGTCGCTGAAATCAGTGAATTTATTGTGTGATTTGTTTATTTTATTTTTTTTAGAAAAGTTTTGGAAGGAAGTTCTCACGTGTGTCAGTTAGAGTGCCCACATTTGTCAACTCTGCATGAACACATCCCTGGCATGTATGTGTGTGTGTGTGTGTGTGTGTTTAGGGATGCACAGATATGAAATTTTAGGCTGATACTGATATTAATACCACTGTTATGGTCGATAACCGATATTTACCAATACGATACCGATATAGATACACACTGAAATTTATGCTTAAGATTTTATATAGATAGAAAATTATGCAAGCTGAATTATTTTAATTTCATACACAATTGTGTTTATATATACACGTTATACACACACACCACACATTTACACTTTTGAGATGATTACCATCACTGTCACAATTACACATCATCATCACCCCCCTCACCCTCTGAAACAGATACCCAAACGGAAACAAGATGGAAACCTTATTGGCCCAGTTTTGGTTATCAGACCGATTTGTTAATAAATGACCAACATCAGCCGATACTAATACCAAACACTGTGCATCCCTAGTGTTTTTGTTTATCCTGAGTAAAGTTGTGTTTGTTCATTACTCAGAAGGAAACTCGAGACAGACGGCTTCTTAGGAGGTTTTAACCCTCCCACTGTCCTAATGGGTGACCCGGCGAGGAAAGTTGACCATTGAGCAGGATTGATGGTTTATCCCTTTAGGTCCATGTGGCAGGGGTGAGGTAGTGCTCACTCCTCACCACTGCCACATGGACCTCAAGGGATAAACCATCAACCCTGCTCAATGGTCAACTTTCCTCGCGGGGTCACACCCATTAGGACAGTGGAAGGGTTAAAGGGATACCTTTCAAATTTTTCATAAATGACCCTTTACAAGGTTAATGAAAGGCCATCCAACCACTATCGCCCCCTGTGGCCAGAATACCGCATTTGCAACTTTGCAGTTGCTGGTCCGATCCATTGGCGCTGCAGTCTGCTTCCAGCATGTTTCCTTTATGTTTTAGATCATGAACACAGCTGGTTGGTTTGATTTAGTGATGAACCACTCCTGTAGACACTAATGAAGGCTGGGAGACGTTTCAGCTGTTAGATTAAAGTATTAAAAAGACAAAATCACAGCGAAGAGATAGGTTTTACTTTCATTTCTAAAAACGGACACTTGGGGGTGCCAAAGCAAGCCAAAACTGCCTAGTTCCCCTTTAAATTATTTTTGCACTCGTCTTTGAAGAGCTGATATCATCTAACTCTGTTCTCATTTGCAAACCTTTATTTTTGTAAAATCTGTGTGTTTTAATTTAACCAATCACATGTTTCTTTTCTTTCAGAGATGTTGTCACAGTCAACTTGCCTTCTCACAGGAGAGTCCACGCCTGGTGTCAGATCAGCTGATGTCTTCCAGAAAGCCTTTGGAGCTCTGGATATGGTGTGTGCAGCAGTAGTGCAGAACCATACCTCTGTATTCTTCTGTGGGAGCCACACGGGTGGCCTGTTAGTGGGTGTTTCTGTATGCAGCCAGACGAACTCTAACGGAGTCTGTCTACTCTCCTGTTTTGCTTTTCTGCTCCATTCTTAACCTCCACCTCTCCCTCCCCCGTCTCAGCAGAGGGCAAATAACAGTCAAATATCCAAAGCTGTCGCAATTTTCTTTATTAATTGAGCGTTCAGTGATGAAGTCTAACCTCCTCAATGACATCTTCCTTTGACCTTAGTTCAGTTCTTAAACTTTGCGAGTTCCCACTTTTCTCTGTAGCTCATATACTTCCCTTTAACCCGTAATCATTCATTTTGGCATGTCGAAAACGTGTGTCGCCTTCAGCCCGTTTTACAAGCGTCCTCTGTCTAATTTTCATAAATGGGACTAAATTTGGACCTTTAGAAGCAGCTGAAGTTCCCAGAACCTGCTGCCCTAAGACCAGACTTGGTGCTTATCTCACATGCCTTTGAGTTCAAGCTGACAAACAGCGTACAAATGGTGTTTAGTGGCAGTTTAAACTTCACACAAGGTTTAACATACTAGGTGTTAGTGTCTTCCTGTATGGAGACGTGTCTCCTGGCTCGTCCTGATCTTGGTGGATCTTCTCTGTGTGTAACTACTGTCACTGGAGGAAGCAGCAGAGCCCTTCATGTTTGAATGTTCTGCAGCGATCGAAACGGTTCATCGTTGTTTGAACCCGCTCCAAGTCCTTCATCATGTTGTTTCATTATGAGTGGATTTAACTTTCTGGCACTGGACGGGACCTCGGAGACAGATTGGGGCCTGCGTCAGCCTCTTTGGAGCTTTTCCCACCTGTTCTCAGGTGGCCAGTTGGGCCGTGTTTCCCGGGGTGCTTGTTCAGAACCAGAACCAGATATGTCCTTTTTACTATGTTTGTGGGGAAGGAAGAATAATGGAGCAGATGAAATGTAAGTGGAAGAAGCAGAGGATGAGAAATAACTTTTGTCCCTGTGCCATTTCATGAAACTAATATGAGGATAAACTGTGTGTGTGTGTGTGTGTGTGTGTGTGTGTGTGTGTGTGTGTGTGTGTGTGTGTGTGTGTGTGTGTGTGTGTGTGTGTGTGTCTCAGAGAAAAGATTTTGATGTTTTTTAATGATTTTAAAACCAAACTATTCCTCAGACCTATATTTCTATTGAAGCTATTTTTGATTATGTCATTTACTGGAGACAAGACAAGTTTATTTCTTGAGTTTTCTATTAGTAAAATATGGTGTTTTGCTTTAAAATAAACCATCAGTACTGATAAAAATAGATTAAATGGGGAATTCAGTCATTTTATCAGAATACCTTGTTTCTGGTTCAGTTCTGATAGTGATATAGAAAATGTGGACAATCTCCACTCCATCACCCGTAGGTTTTTGAAGAGCTCAGTTGAAGCCCAGTGGGTAGCTCCACCGCCATCTTGGCTGCTTCACGTGCCTCATCACTCCCTGGAAATACAAAAATGGAGCTGACAGCGGGGCTGTGGGGGTGGGGGCAGATGATTGACGCTCATTAAACTCTGAGCTCATTTTTAACATGGGAGTCAACGGGAGCTTGCTTTTTTATGGATCAAACCTCAAGTGGAGGAGCTGGGAACTGCAATCTTTGTAACTTTGTAAGATTGCCACTTGGTTAAACCCTCAAAATCATGAAGCAGTCTTCTGGAACTTTTGCTGTAATTCAGTTTATGGAGATGTGTTTAATGTCAATATACAGGGTGGACCATTTATATGGATACACCTCAATAAAATGGGAATTGTTGGTGATATTAACGCCCTGTTTGTGGCACATTAGTATATGTGAGGGGGAAAACTTTTCAAGATGGTTGATGACCATGGTGGCCATTTTGAAGTTGGCCATCTTGGATCCAACTTTTGTTTTTTCAATAGGAAGAGGGTCACGTGGCACATCAAATTTATTGGATATTTCACAAGAAAAACAATAGTGTACTTGGTTTGAACGTAACTTCTCCCGTGTTAACCTCTTCAACATTTCAATGGCTGTGAACAAAGAGAAACTTTTAAATAACTCGAAAGAATAAAGTTACATTCAAACCAAGCACACCATTATTTTTCTGGTGAAATTCCCAATATGTTTGATGTGTCACATGACCCTCTTCCCATTGATAAAACAAAAGTTGGATCCAAGATGACCTACTTCAAAATGGCCACCATGGTCACCACCCATCTTGTGTAAAGATGAGTTAATCAGACAGAGTCTGTCAAAAGGCTTTAAAATTCACATTCTAACTCCTATGCTGGGCGAGAGGTAGGGGACACCCTGGACAGGTCCCCAGTTTATCACAACAACCGTCAGTCAGTCACACACTGACACTTAGGGACAATTTAGAGTCTCTAGTCAACGTGACTTGCAGGATTTCAGTCTGTGGGAGGAAATCAGAGTATCCAGAGATAAAACCCACTCATCTTTGGGGAGAACATGCTAACTCCTAGCATTAAGACTGCAGCTGGGATTTGAACTGGCAACCTTGCTGCCCCAACATACGATCATCAGATTATGATCATAAATAAAAACTTGAATAACTAAGATTTTTTTTTCTCAACACATTCACAATCATTTAACCTGGTTACTAACCGCAGTGTTGAGTTCAGATTATTTATTTAAATTGGTTTTTGTTTTTCTTGCTGGGATTTTGTGGTCGGCCTGGTTTAAAAAGCACCTTCTTTAATTTACTTAACTAATTAATCTCCCTTAACATTGGGCAGGTGATTTTTCAAGATCATTTGACCCCTCAACAAAAAAAAAATGTATAAACATTTCACAATATCCAACCACTTTGTATTATTTTAATAAGGTGAAAAAGACTTCATCACAGTTTCAAACTGCATCTGGATGTTTATTTAATGCTGGAATGGGTTTTTCACCACCGGACACTAATTAGTGAAAAGACGAAGATCATTTTTAACAGTAGACGAGGGGCACGATCTGGTTTCCATAACTCACTGGAATGACCCAAATCCAAAAGTGGAGGGTTTTCAGGCTGAAAAGTGTTAGTTCTTGGCTGGATCTCATCATTTCCCTCAATAAGCAGAGTAAAGAAGTTTGGCCTTCACTTTTCTTGTGCCAGTTCAGAAGCATGAAGGATCATTTATGAGTAGTCGGTGGAAATCAGTCGTTGGATTTCTGTTAAATGCCAGGGTTGATTTATTATTTTTTTAACTGCATTTTCTTTAATCATAAAATGATTAATTACAGGAAAGCAGGTGATTAAAGAAATGATTAAAAAGTGACAGAAACCAGAAGGCTCCAGACCTTTAAGCACTCTGACCTCTGAGGTGTTAGAACCTGGAACTGGAATCTGTCTTATTAAAAAAAAACTGTCCTGGAAGTTTAAAGTATCTCTTTGTACAGAAGCTGGACGTCATCCCAGATCTGATGGGAGACAACGCCAGGTACCTGCTCAAAGCTTGGAACTTCATCCAGGTTTCTGTAAGTTTCCGCTTTAAGCACATCTGTCAAAGTCAAGTGAAAACGTATCCATGTAAAAACTCACTGTGAGTTCTGAGACGGGTTGATCTTATCAGAATTTTTTTATGTTGTTCTGTCTCCAGTTCCATTCTTCCTGCCTGTCTGAGGTGGAAGACATACTTGTGGCTTTGGATGCAACAAATCAAGCTCTTCTCCACCCCCCCGTCGTCATTTGGGTGAGTTTTACAGCCTTGTTAAAAGACAAATGGCTGCCTTAAACCACTTTTTTGACTATTGAATAATCACCAATTATTTTAGCTGTTAGTCAACTAATTGAATAATGCTTAAATTGTAGCTTACGGTTTTGATCAAAATGAGTCAGAATGTTTGCTTGTGCGTGTTCTTTTCTTGGTAACAGTGTTGTTCAATGAAGACCTAACTAGGTCACTTTTCCTTTATGTCTAGTTTTTATTTGCTACATTTCTAGAATGCTTCAGTTCATATCGAGGCAGACAGGAAGTCAAACACAAAAGCAGTGTCAAACATCTAGAAATTTTCAAAATTAAAGTTGCATTCAGATAGTTGCTTTACTAGTAAAGAGAAACGACATAATTTCTCTCCATAGCCTCGGTTAACAATGTAAAAAATAAACCAGAGACCTTTTTGGATACATGCTGCCATCTTTCTCCTCGTTTGTTATCGTGTGAACTGCCGAAATTACGCATGACATTGCAATTCTCCCTTGAGTTCATGACCTCATGGGACCAGTTTCATGGAAAGCTTTCATTGCCTTTCCACATCGGAAACGCTCCCAGTGGGAAGGGAGCTTGCAGGTAAAGCGTTACATGTCACTTACACATCTAGTGGAAAGGCTGGGTAATGTTTTTTAATCAAATAAAACAATAACATTTGTAACGTTACAGCAAACCCATGACATATGTCGTAGGGTAATGAAATAGCAACTTCTTCTGTAAATGTTACAAATATTAATACAAGTCTCACTGGTGATGTTAATGTTAGCAGCTAGCAAACAAATGAACTTCACTCTACATTGTCGGCCACAACGTGCTTCCTTTTAAGATGCTCGTGCATCATCGCCATAAAGAAAGGCAGGTTCTCCCTTGCACAAGCTTCTCTTAAACTTTTATAAAATGGACATCGTTGACTGATTCGGTCCAGCATACAATTGCAATAGTCAATCCAAGGCAGAACAAAAGCACATATCGAAATCCCAGAGTTCTGTCGTGAAAGCATAGGCTTTATTAAAGAGAGGCATCAGAGCTGGAAGAAACAAGACCTAACCACTGCATTTGCCTGGGTGTCCAGTGTTAAGGTGAAATCCAACTTAACACCAAATCAGTGATCACTGACTACATTTACATGCAGCCAATATTCGGGTTATGATCGGGTTAAGGTCGGTATTCGGGTTTCTGAGTTGATCAGAATAACCTGTTTACAAGCATAAATAGAAAGAGTTACCCCTAACTTGCATTACCCAATTTAAATGCGGACGTTGGGGTAGCGTCAGGACGTATGGACTACGTCCAGATGCAATATGCATCATTTCCGGTTCTTCTTGTTCCGGTATCCATGAAAACAACAACATGTTTCCCAGTTCGGAAGAGATAGCGACCACGTTTGTTTGCGCTTTAGTTTCCTCGTCACTCCAAAAGTGTGGTGCTGTGCCGCGACTCGCCATGTTGCTCCCAACTTGTTTTTTACTTCCGGTGTTCTGGCGCATACAAGACGTCTCGCTACTCAAAAGACCAAGATTCCTTGCGAACAGAGCATGCGCAGAACACACGCTTTGATGGGGATATCCCGATATGCGTTTACATGACCAAGCATTCAGGTTAGAAAAGGGTTACCCCAGGTGTAGTAACCGGGTTTTTAAAAACCCGGTTATGAGCATATCTGGGTTTTTGGCGGTGTTTACATGGACCTGCAGAACCGGGTTATTGTGAATATTCGGGTTTTAAAAAGGTTACTGGCTGCATGTAAACGCACTCAGTGTCTTTTCAAATGGGGCCAATGGTTAGAGGTCTACACCATGCAGCTGCCGGTCATTCCTGGAAGGAAACTATGACCTCAGTTTTATTCTAACTAAGGATCTTAGTTGTCAAACTTTCAATCAAAGTCTGAAGCATACTCAATGACCCCTGCTTTACTAGCAAGTAAATGTGGCAATCGTCAACCTATAAATGAAAACTAATGCTGTGCCTTCGAAAGAGCATTCCCAGGGGAAGCAAATGGAAAAAAAGCTGAGGCTCCAGAACAGAACCCTGAGGAACTCCCCATTTTAGCGGAGCATCCTCCTCACTCATTGACACATGCTGAAAGGTCTGTCTGAAAGGTAGGACCTCATCCACTTCAGAGAAGCTTGAGATAGCCCTACCCACTGTTCCACGCAGCATGTGTGTGTGAAGAGCTCAAAGGATTATGAAGCAGCTGAAGTTACAGCGGCAGTTTTGTTGCAGAGGTCACCACTGGCCACTAGGGTGTGCTGCAATCAAGCCTCGAGGGAAAAAGGTGTATTCACGGACGTGCCTGAAGTCACGTACATGTGACGACCCCTCACTGTACATATGCTGCTTGTCATTTGGATTACTGCTGCTCAACCATCACACTGCTGTCTATCCATGCTACTGCTGTCTATCCATGCTACTGTTCGACTTGTATCTGTAAGTCTTCACCTGCTTGTTAAGCCAATGTAATGGTTACATTGTCAGTATGCACGCTAAGCCGCGCTGCAGTTATTTACCTATTTTATCGCATTGCTTAGCTTTGGTCTTCAGCCCATGCTGCTGCTTCACGCTGCCGTTAGCTTCTGCTCACTGAGCTTTGTATGTCGCTGCAGGGCTCCTTCATCCTTGTCAATAAAACCATTTGACATCGAGGAGTGTATTTCTTCATGTGATAAACACAAAGCTTCAAAAATAAAATATGATGTTGATTATTGCATTTGTTATTGACAGTTTTGGTAGTCAGGAATAACCAACTAATCTTGGCTAAAACAAACCTATAATTAACAATAACAATCCCTACGTGACCATCTGACCATGACCATGTGTTTTCTGATTGGCTGTGCTGGCCTTTGTCTCAATAGGTGCATTTAAAGAGAACTGATGAAAAGTCCATGGCGTTGGCTGAGTCTGCTACAATTATGAACCTGGCCTCCACCGCCAAGCTTCGAAACATCCTCCTCTATGGTATCGAGGTTCATGGGTCTGAGGTAAAAGCTTTGTCTGTTCGGCCTTGTTTTCTTTTGTTTCGTTTCATTAGGAGAGCTCAGACTTCCTGAGGAATGCACATTCAAAAGAGGCCAAACAAAACAAAAAGGGAAATGTCTTTTAAGTGCGGTTCCAATGTCTTGTCAGGTTTTGCTGCAGGCAAGGTAACTGTCTTTTATCACCCATCTCAACGCGCTGAGGTGTGGAGAGTCTTTTATGTACAACTGGGAAAAGATGCGTGCCCGGCAGTGTGATTAAAAGAACAGGATATTTTCTGTTTTACCCCCACTTTCAGAAGATGCATAAGCAGAATTGTTTGAACTGAATGCCAGAGGGATTAAAAGGATGGAGAGGTGCTTTAGCTGTTAAGCTTCATGTAGCCCAAGCAAAGTGCATATAAGTCGACCCACTACAACTAAACTGGGTGTCATGGGAACTGCTGTCCGAGGGCAGCCAAAATGGTGGATGTAGTCAACTTACAGCTCAGTAGTTACAGGATTACATCAAGTTAAAGTATTCATCTTGCAGAGTGAGACATGTCAGGACTGAAGCTACCAAAGCTATCAAATTAGATGGGGTTCTTTCTAACCAGATGTCTACATCAAACCCAAGATAAATGTTGAATATTCATGGAGTTCCTGGCCTTTACGTGTAACCCATCATGATTTATGTTCATGGCTGACTGCACCAATGTGACAAATGAGGTTTTTTTGGCAGCTGCATCACTTCACAAACCAGTGCTAAAAGCCTCAGCACCTCAGGCGAGGGGATGTTTGAGCAGGTTGGGTTTATTCAGATGCAAGCACACACACGCACGCACGCACGCACGCACACACACACACACACACACACACACACACACACACACTAAGAGAGTTAAATGATAAGCTGAATGAATCCAGGATCTCATTGTGGTCATTGAGAGTGTGAGCTGCCTCATCAGCATCTTCCATCCGAGTTTGGTTCTGTTATCAGACGTTAAGACATCTCGGTTTTCCTCAAAATTATGAAGGCTGTTAATTTGTCATCCCGCTCCACTCCTCTGAGAGAACAGAGGAAAATGTGATGGCAGTGGACAGAGATAATGTGTTCACCGTGATTAAATACTCAGTCCTGTGAGATAGTGGAAGAGCGGAACACAACCTCCTATAAATCACAGTTAACATTCTGCTCTAATGAGCATAATAATCCCTCACAGATGTTTTTGTTCCTTCTTATTGAGATGCTCACCAAAACATTGTCCTCCAGCCTGTATAAATATTTCTTAGAATGCTTGTTTTATTTTGGAGGCTTTAAAACATATTTTAAAACAATCTGTCAGGGGTTACGAAAGCAAACATCGTTACAGCTTTAATTGCTTTAATTGGTGAAGCAAAGAACACGATAAGATCCATGATAAGATCTGTGCCATGCATAGTTTAAACCCCCCCCAACCCCCCAAAAACTTTTATTTAGTTTCATGAGCACCAACATGTGTTTGCCACATGACAACACAGTCTGGATTAAATTTTCTGTTCTTCTGAAGGAAAGGTCAAGTTGTCCTGTCAAAGTGTCGGCAGATCTTTGTTAAGGTAGCCAGAGCAGACAACAAACGCAGTCAGGGTGCTGGCCAGAGATTTGTGCAAATATCTTTGCTGTTCAATCTGGAAGTTCAGTTTTCTTTGTTAAACATCATTTTTCGTGGTGCCGCGTGCGTTCGGAACAGCCAAAATCATCGTTGTTTGCGTTATGTAACGGAATCAAAGTGATGTAACTATCTAAAGTTGTATTTTAATACACTGTTAGTAGTTCACCTTTTATAAACAGAAGAATAGGCTGTTTTTATCATCAGGGAGTTTAATTAAACACTCTGTATTGACTTTGAGACAAGAAAAGAGAGAGATATGGGATCGTTTGAGAATCTTTAATTTCTGAATTATAAATTCTAAACAATCTACCAGGAAAAAAACAGCGTTGCGGTTTGTGCTTTTAAATAAATTTTACTCACCTGTCAAACATGAGGGGAACTGACTGAGGTCACTTAGATTAAGGCCAAAAGGAACTTGCTAAATTAGGAGTAATGACATTTATTTTCCAGCACATTCCCAAAGTATATCCCTATACTGTAATCTGACGTTTTAACATTTTGACAACATTAAAGGTGCACTTTGTAAGAGTCAATTTTTAAGCAAAAATAACACTTTCTCACTCCTGTTCCGTGAGTTGCATGGCTGTTGCCAGTTATGCATCACCTCCAGAACATTCTAGATGACAAGCATAGACGAGTTATACACAGTAAGTGGGCAATGCCAGGCCGACACTGTGAAACTTTGTCACTCTCAGCATTCAGCTCCATCTCAAACTGTACGGCTTCCTCTAAGAGCAAAGCTCACAAGGCATGTTCTCACACTGTACAGTTCAAAGGATGTGACAGGACTGCTCACACTTTACATCTGGTAGCATAAAGTCAGATATGAAAATGTGCTAAAAATAGTAGTTCCAACACAACACATTTGAGTCCAAAATCTTGGAAGACCCGGAGACTGTTGTGTTGTTATGTCATTTGTCCTTCAGGCTTGTTGTAGGTGGACACGCAGGGGTTTATGGGGGTTGGAGAAGGAAGACAAAAGAAATGAAGTAAAAATGTTTTGGGATCTGTTATTTTGCATACCGTATTTCCTCGAATATAGGACGACCCTAATTATAAGACGACCCCCATTTCCAAGACTAATCTTCAGGAAAAGACAAAAAAATTGCTTTATAAATGAACTATTTTATTGAAAATTTGAGAACAAATTTTAATGCAAACTATCTGAACTTTGCTGACATGTGAAATCAAAGTCAAATGTGGCTTTTATTCAGACGCCCTCTGCTTTACTCACTCACTCTCATTCTTACTCATGATGCTGCGGGGTGTACCACCACACCTGCCCACTCCTCCCAGAATGTCATCCTCACTGCCATCCAATACATCCATGCATGCAATGTTTGACGCCTCGGCTGAATTGACTACCGTCATCTTAAAATTTGCATAACTCTGCCTTATAGCTTGTTAACTTGCCCCACTTTCAGTCTACTCTGCTCCGTACTACTCGTCTCCATTTTTTTCTCCTGTTGAGAACATACAGCCTGGCACGCTCTGCTGTTATGGGCGTGTAATGGTTAGACCCCGATTATAAGGCGTGCCCACATTTTAAAATTATTTTCAATGAAAAAAACCTTGTCTTATATTTGGGTTAATACAGTATAAGACAACACAAATGCAAACAACAAAATCCCAACAGCGCAACCACTTTAAGCTTTTGTACTACCAGATATTGATATATCCATCCATCCATCCATCAATTTTTTTTCGGCCATTTTATCCATTTTATCTTATCCGAGGTCAGGTGGTGGGGGCAGTAGACTAAGCAGGGAGGCCCAGACTTCCCTCTCCTCAGCCGCTTGGGCCAGTTTCTCCGGGGGAATCATAAGGTGTTCCCTGGCCAGCTGTGAGACACAGCCTCTCCAGCGTGTCCTGGGTCTTCCTTTAGGTCTTCTCCCAGTTGGACATGCCCTGAAAACCTCACCAGTGAGGCGTTCAGGAGACACCCTAACTAGATGCAGTGGATCTACTCAGAGCCCCTCCCGGATGACCAAGCTTCTCACCCTATCTCTAAGGGAGAGCCCAGCCACCCTGCGGAGAAAACTAATTTTAGCCTCTTGTATCCCCAATCTCATTCTTTCGGTCACTACCCAAAGCTTGTGACCATAGTTTAGGGTTCGAGCGTAGATCAATCAGTAATTCGAGAGCTTTGCCTTTTGGCTCAGCTTAAAACAAAACAACAAAAATTACATTGATCTTTCTGAATCCAAAATTTGACAATCCGCCGGACTGTCTTCTCCAGAACCCCTGAATAGACTTTACCAGGGGTGCTCAGGAGTGTGATCCCCTGTAGTTGGAACACATCCTGCGGTCCCCCTTTTTAACTAGAGGGACCACCACCCCGGTCCACCAATCCAGTGAAACTGCCCCCGATGTCCACACGGTATTGCAGAGCAGTGTCAGCCAACACAAACCTACAACGTCCAGAGTCTCAAGGAACTCTGGGCGGATCTCAGAGTATGGCCCTTAAAATACCAACTTCTCTCTCTCGTTTTTTAAAGAGTCACAGAACGTTGAGCGCTAGCATGATGTCAACGCCAAAACTAACCTAACAAAGAGGAGACTCACCTCTTACATCATGAAAAATTCGAGCGTTATCCGTTATTTCGTAATCCGTTGTCAAATTGTGATCAGCAGAAGCTTTTCTGGTTTGCGCCTCACTTTTTTTTTACAGCAGCGGCCCAAAACGATCTTCTAACACATGGATTTTCTGCTGATCATGTGACGTGTGACGTACGAGGATGAAGATCAGCCTTAGAGCTGGGATGTTTGTTCTCACAGTGCGGGGGCTAGTTCCGACACCCACACAATAAAACAATGCAAATGACGAATGGTGACTGTCAGATTGTAATGGGTAGTACATTTCAAAGGATGGGAGCAGCATTCACAAAGGCCTGCTCCCCTCTAGCTGTATAGTTAATTTTTGGAGTGCAAAGCAATAGGCGATCAGCTGACCTCAGCTTTTATCGCTAGGGGATAAACTGTTATGAACCACCGACTACATCGCTAGCCAACAACAACGCAACCAAAAGATTACCGCAAAAAGTAACGGAAACCAGAGGAAGCCGGATCTTGTTTCTGCATGCTGACTGCGTGTGCATCTGCTTTGTTTACAAACAAATATGGGGTCTATAAATGCAGGCCATTTAACAATTATTTATTATTATTATGTTTTTAATTTGCCACGGAAATTGTTTACAGGAAAGAGGTGGGACTTAAAACCTGTACTGCAGCCAGCCACTGTGGGGCAGTGTTTCACTTCAGATTCAGCTTCCACATTGCATTCCTTGGTCTGGTTGTAAAATGTTGATGCTTTGTTTCTATTTTCTAAATAACAGTTTGACTCACTCAAATGATTATTTAGCTAATTCAATTCAA